ATCTATCTATCTATCTATCTATCTATATCTCTGGCTGGATGGCTCTTTGTCAGGAGGACTTTGATTACGTTTTCTTGCCCTGAARAAGGGAGTTGGATTGGATGGCCTTAAAGTATTTTCTGTTGGTCATGGGGGTTCTGTGTGGGAAGTTKGGMCCAATTCTGTCATTCGTGGGGTTCAGAATGCTCTTTGGTTGTAGGTGAACTATAAATCCCAGCAACTACAACTCCCAAATGACAAAATCATAATGTTTTSAGTAATGGACACTCCGTTTATAAATGTATTCCAATCTCTGGAGGAAGGTATTCTCTAGGCTTGTGCATTCAGGGTAAACCTGAATTTTGTGTCCCAGCTTTAAATGCGGGCCCTGATCCATTTTTTGGGAGCCTCCCGAAATCGGAAGGGCAAATATCTTTCACTCTGGGATGCTGAAAGATCAGTTTTCTATTGGCCCATTATGAGGGAGGGGCTTCTCAGGCTCCCCTTCCGATCATTTTAGACATTTAAGCTGTTTCTACTCTAGAGGAAAGGCACTCAGCTGCAGGCAGGTGTGCTCTTTAAGGAGGCTTCTTACCTGTTTCTACTCTAGAGGAGAGGCATTCAACTGCAGGTAGGTGTGTGTGTTCTCTCCCAGGCCAACATGCCACACACTCTTTTCAAGGCATTTAAAGGAGGCAAGTTCTTAAAGCTGTTTCTTCCTCTAGAGGAGGAGAGGTGCTGGGCTGCAGCATTCTTTCCAAGATATTTAAAGGAGGCAAGTTCTTAAAGCTGTTTCTTACTCTAGAGTAAGAAGAAAGCATTAGGAACTTGCTTCCTTTAAATGCATTGGAAAGAGTGCTCTGCTGCAGCACTCTTTCCAAGGCATTTAAAGGAGGCTTCCCACTTCCAGGTAATGGCCTCCTAGAAGGGTAGTAATTCTCAGAGAACAAGAGGTTTTTTTTTTGTTTACTGGGGGATTAATAAAAAAGATTAAACTGTGATGGTGAAAAGCAGAGGAGCTGAGATCTGTTCCTGCTTCCTTTCGTGTTGAGCGGGTTTTCGTACTAGAAGGGCCCTTATTATTATGAGCTCCCAAAGTACCAAAAGTACCAAAGGAAATGGAGGACATGGAAGAAATGAACTCCGCACACAAGTCTAATATTCTCTAGTTTCGGAGTAGTGCTGAGTACTGAGAAGCATTCAAGCATATTTATCTGTTCAAAAACATTGTACTTATGAAGTGTGGCAGACAGAGTTCCTCCTGGTCAGTCAACACAGGTTACAGCCAGTGTTGGACAGGGTTACACTCCCCTGAAGATGCAGTTTCTCAGCTTGGGAGTGATCCTGGATTCATCGCTGAGCTTGGAACCCCAGGTTTCAGTGCTGGCCTGGGGAAGCTTTTGCATAGTTAAAACTTGTGTGCCAGCTGCACCAATACCTTGGGAAGTCTGATCTGGCTACGGTGTTACATCCCTATTAGATTACTGCAATGCGCTTAACATGGGGTTACCTTTGAAGACTGTTCGGAAACTCCAACTAGTCCAACGAGCGGCAGCCAGATTACTCATTGGAGCGACATACAGGGAGCATACCACCCCCCTGTTGTGTCAGCTCCACTGGCTGCCAATACACTTCCAAGCACAATTCAAAGTGCTGGTATTGGCCTATAAGGCCCTATATGGTTCCGGCCCAGTTTACTTGTCCAAAAGTATATCTCTCTACATCCCGCCTTGTAGTTTAAAATCATCCGGGTCCCGCCAGCTTCGCAAATGCGTTTGGTGGGAACGAGAGACAGAGCCTTCTTGGTGATAGCCCGCCTATGGAAATCGCTTCCCAGTGAGATAAGGTCAGCAGCATCCCTCCTGTCTTTCAGGAAGAAATTGAAACGATGGTTCTAGAACCAAGCTTTTGGACAGCAGGCATAACAGCACTTTGGATGTGGAACTGGACTAGAATGGTTATATGGCTGACAATAATGTTTTTAATTGTTTTAATTAATGTTTTGTCTATTGTTTTAAATTGTAGTTATATTGTAGTATTTGTTTATATGTTGCGGCATCAAATTGTTGCCAAGTGAAAGCCGTCCTGAGTCCCCCTCCCGGGGTTGAGAAGGTCGGGGTAAAAATGCTGGAAATAAATAATAAATGTGTTGTCTCCAAAGAGCGTCCTCCCAAACTTTACAGAGAATTTCATCCATGGTGTGCCTCTCATATCTCATACACATTTCAACAATAGTCACAATGGCAAAGCATTTTTTCTGTGATTTTTATAGTGCAGCAGTGATTATATCCTCTAAAATCCCAAATCGATCCTGTGACCAAAGCATGAATTTAAGGAAACATCAGTAATAGCCACACTTAATTTTCTTCACTCTTTCCCTTCATAACTTTGAAATTCTTTTTAAAAATTATCCTGAAATTGAACATATTATACTCCAAGTTTCCTGTAGACTGTGAAACAAAACAGTATTACTTTTTCAGTAATAGCTTGGCATTCCAAGAAACTTATTATTTTTAATTTGATTCCTTAAGAGACACATGCTCTCTCCCCCATCTCTCAACCACTAGCTCAGATAATCTAACAGAATAGCCTAGAAGCAGATATTGCTGCATTACTGCACATTAGATCAAGGCTATGAAATCCCAAGGCCAGAGCCAGATAAAATCAATTTTAAAAAATTAATTGGATTTTCAAAAATAAGTGATATTTCCTTTCTTCATAAGAAGGAAATTATTGTCTTCCAGGTGATGTGGGGCTACAATTTCATGTTGCCCTAGTTGGAATAGCAAATAACAAGGGAGTCATAGAATCATAGAGTTGGAAGAGAACTTGTGGGCCATCCAGTCCAACCCACTGCCAAGGAGCAGGAAAATTGCGTGCAAAGCATCCCCGACAGATGGCCATCCAGCCTCTGTTTAAAAGCTCCCAAAGAAGGAGCCCCCACCTCACTCGGGGGCAGAGTTCCACTGCTGAACAGTTCTCACATTTAGGAAGTTCTTCCTCATGTTCAGGTGGGATCTCCTTTCTTGTAGTTTGAAGCCATTGTTCCGCGTCCTAGTCGCCAGGGCAGCAGAAAACAAGCTTGTTCCCTCCTCCCTATGACTTCCCCTCACATATTTATACATGGCCATCATTCCTCCACTCAGCCCTCTCTTCTGCAGGCTAAACATGCCCAGCTCTTTAAGTCACTCCTCATAGGGCTTGTTCTCCAGTCCCTTGATCATTTTAGTCACCCTCCTCTGGACACATTAGTATTCGCTATTCCCTCCCAATTTGGTGTCTGCAAACCTGATAATCATACCTTCAAAGTCTATATAAATAAAAATGTAATGTTCGTTTGTGCTACCATCAGAACTCAAAAACCACTGGGGGAATTGACACCAAATTTGGACACAAGACACCTAACAGTCCAATTTATGTCCTCCACTCAAAAAAATTGATTTTGTCATTTGGGAATTGTCGTTGCTGGGATTTATAGTTTACCTACAATCAAAGAGCATTCTGAACTCCACCAATGATGGAATTGGGCCAAACTTAGCACACAGGGCTCCCATGACCAACAGAAAAAACTGGAAGGGTTTGGTGGACATTGACCTTGAGTTTGGGAATTGTAGTTCACCCACATCCAGAGAGCACTGTGGACTCAAACAATGATGGATCTGGACCAAACTTGGCACGAATATTCCATATGCCCAAATATGAACACAGATGGAGTTTAAGGGAAATAGACCTTGACATTTGGGAGTTGTAGTTGCTGGGATTTATAGTTCACCTACAATCAAAGAGCATTCTGAACTCCACCAATGATGGAATTCAACTAAACATGGCATACAAGACTTCCATGACCAACAGAACACACTGGAAGGGTTTGGTGGGCATTGACCTTGAGTTTAGGAGTTGTAGTTCACCTACATCCAGAGAGCACTGTGGACTCAAACAATGATGGATCTGGACCAAACTTGGCACGAATATTCCATATGCCCAAATATGAACACAGATAGAGTTTAAGGGAAATAGACCTTGACATTTGGGAGTTGTAGTCTGGGATTTATAGTTCACCTACAATCAAAGAGCATTCTGAACTCCACCAATGATGGAATGAACCAAATACCCACACAGAACCCCCATGACCAACAGAAAATACTTAAGGCCATCCAGCCCAACTCTCTTCACCAAGGCAAGAAAATGTAATCAGAGCCCTCCTGACAAAGAGCCATCCAGTCATAAATGTAGATAGATAGATATGATTCTCACACTCACACACACAGATATAGTATCATAGATTTGAAAGAGACCCTTAAAGAAGGACTATTATATGTTGCATATTCCAGAGTAGGCAAACCAGACACTCTCCACATCAACACTGACAAAGAAACAAGAAGAAATACTGTTTACTCACAAGCAGAAAGAAATTACATATATTAGAAACCAACACTTTCTCATTACTTTATTTTCCAGATCACCAGACTGGGCCACAGCAACGCGTGGCAGGGGATAGCTAGTCATTAATAAAGATGTTGAACAGATCAGGGTCTAGGACAGAACCTTGTGGGAGCTGCAATCTAAAAATCTCTAGGTCACATCTTGTCTTGGTACTGAGCTCAAAAACTGTCAAGTTATTTTATTTTATTTTCGTGTCAGGAGCAACTTGAGAAACTGCAAGTTGCTTCTGGTGTAAGAATTGGCTGTCTGCAAGGATGTTGCGCAGGTGATGCCTGGATGTTTTGATGTTTTACTATTCTTGTGGGAGGCATCTCTCATATCCCTGCATGAGGAGCTGGAGCTGATAGAGGGAGCTCATCCGTGCTCTCCCCGGATTCAAACCTCCAGTCCTGCCAGCACAAGGGTTTAACCCATTGTGCCACTGGAGGCAATGACATAGGAAGTTTGTAGATTCTGTTCCACTTCTAGAAAACCAAGTTCTCTGGCAACTCTTGCAATCCAACTGGCATAACAAATCTTTGAAGAAGCCAACATTTGTGCCTACAAACAGAATCAGGACATATAAATAAGCCACAACAGAACCTTTATTGGTTTATTGATAGTCATTTGTGAGGAAAACATAACTGCCATTTTCCAGCGTGCTATGGCTTCATTTTATAAGGGTTGGCTATTTACTGTTTAAGAAGAGTAAAGAACAATACTTTCCAATTTAATATTTTGGTTCTCCTTTTTTATTCCACAAATGATATTGTTTTCTCTGGGTACATCAAAAGGTCCTAATACATTCATGATTTTTTTTCAAACTATTCAAACTGATTAATTTTGTATTAAGATACATTCAGATAAAAAGATAAAGTTACATACTTGCAGTCAAGTGCACACATACAGTTGGCAAGTAGAGCCAATGCAAATGTGCTGAAATGTTTGTAGAATAAATAGAAACCGAAAACACATGCAATGGGTGCTGCATGTGCTCATCTCCACTCTTAATCTTTTCATAACATTCTTGGAAGTTCACAACTATATCAATGCTAGCTACTTCATTTAAAGAAAACAGACTCATCTGTCACTTATTATAAAAAAAACCCTACAGTTCCATTAGTTCAAAAAATTATCAGTGCTAATGATTTTAGTAACAGTCTGGCACAATGGCAATGCACAGCAATTACATGTAGTGCAATACTGGCATCAAAATAAATAAGTGGGTTTGGTTTCAGATTAGCCCAGAACAGCAACAGCCAACCGCACAACCCATACTGCTCCCAAAATAAAACTCAAAAAAATAACTCCACATAGAAGTTCTCTTGCCTGGACCCTGCTGAAATGAATCAAAGTTGTAGACAGCCATCTTGGTACAACTCCCACTCATTTCAAAGGGGTTTCGCAGAAGAACTCAATGGTACATTATGTTCCTTCTCCTCTTCTTCTACTTTTTCTTCAGGACTAGGCAAGCTGGTACCCTCCAGATATTATGGCCTGCCTTATCTTAACCCAGTGGTTCTCAATCTGTGGGTCCCCAGGTGTTTTGGCCTACAACTCCCAGAAATCCCAGCCAGTTTATCAGCTGTTAGGATTTCTGGGAGTTGAAGGCCAAAACATCTGGGGACTCACAGGTTGAGAACCACTACCTTAACCACTATCCATGCCGGCTAGAGCTTAAGCATGTTGTGGTACAGAACATTTGGCAGGTATCAAGTTATATATTCTGTTCCGATCTGCTCAGTGCCTTAAAGACATCATTTCAAGTTTTTATACATTCGTCTGTTTTTGGATAAAATGCTAAGCAATGTTTCAACGAGTCCTGAGCTCAACATTTACCTAACTTCTCCTATTTTGATAAGTGAAACGAAACAGAGCTCCATGTTGCATCAGAATGCACCATGTTGACACTACTGCTACTGTTTGATCTTGGCTTGTTTCAACTGACCACAAACTTAAACACATATTGTTTACATGCAATATAGTGTTTGTTCTATGTTATGAAGAAAAAGCCCAAATGCTGGATACTTTCAAAGATGTTAGGGTAGATAAGATTCAATCTTTGGCTAGTAATATTGGGTAACTATGCAACTTGGATTTGATGGAAACGGATATAAGACCAGTTAAAACAGAAATATTCTAACTCTGTCTAGGATCCTTGTTAACATTTCAAATTGGAAGAGGAGAAATGAAAAGAAGCTGAAACTCTCATTCTTTTTCACTTGAGTACCCATGTTAAATATTATTTGAAATTATTCTCTAAGACAGTGGTTCTTAACCTGTAGGTCTCCGTGTGGTTTGGCCTAAAACTCCCAGAAATCCCAGTCAATTTACCAGCTGTTAGGATTTCTGGGAGTTGAAGGCCAAAACATCTGGAGACCCCTGGGTCCAAGGATACATCTTATAGCATGTTTGTTTAAATTAAGATTTTTAACCATGTCTGCAATTCATTATTTCAATGACTTTGGCTCCCAAGATAGAAGTGGTTAAAACATTACAGAGCAAGACATAATTCCAAGAAGTCTGTTTTGCTTTTGAGAGGCATCTGTTTTCAGTGTCTGCAACAAAACACGCTCTTCCTTCCACACTCTAGTGCAGCATTGAAAATAAAATTAACACAGAACATGGATGTGCAATAAGCAACAGCAGAAGTGTGTTCTCTTTCCAGGCATCGAGCAGGCTTAGCAATCATTCTCAACACACAATTATTTCAAGTGTATTGTGTCAAGGGGAAAAAAAGTTTAAATAAGTCAGGCAAATGAGCCAGGAGCTGGGATACTCCCTGCCCTCCACAAAGGCAAAATAAAACGGTCAAAAGGCTAAGTTACTGCTTTGATGTACAACAAAGTCTCTTTGTGTTCATGGAAGTTACTATGTGCATTAGCATTCCACAATTCTGATAGCATGATCGCTAACCCCTTCCAGAGGAGGTGCAAGGTCAAGCTAAGTTAACTAGAAAAAAACGCATCATTTTTTTCAACCAAGGATTGCTTTTTTTTTCAGTGCAAAGAAAAACAACACAGCCTTTCAAAAGGTTAGCATGTTAAATTGTCAAAACCATGTCATGATTCACTTATTATACATCTGGTACATATTTACATTCATGTACAAAGTTTACACATTCCCCCCTCCATTAGGCACAAAATTGAATTGTTAAACTCAACAGCAAATGGAAGAAAAATCTTTTTAAAAAATGTCTGAAGGAGGGTGATTGGTAGGTCACTCATCGTAAGCTCGTCTGTTTGGGAAGCTTAGCTCCCATTAGGATGCCAGGTGTTAATGTTGATGGTCCTTTCATCTGCATGCTGGAACCCACCATCGTTGGGAAGCTTCGATTCCTCCTAATGCCACTGTTCAACTGAATGCTCCCAATAGGATGTGTTACAGCAGGACAACCCAAGGGCAGGCCTTCTGGCATCAGGCCTCCAGGAACAAATGCTTTAACTGGCCTTTGTGCCCCACAAAGCCGAGGTCCGTGTTCATCCATTAGTGAAGGAGTTTGTGGCTGCCCTGAACTTACTACTTTGGCAATTCCAAACTTCTTTACTTTGTCCACTAGGTTAAGGTTGGAGACAGATACATCAGTCTGGCTTTCACTGTTCCTGATACTCTTTTTGTCTCTCACCTCCTTCAGGATGGAGCTGGCTGGTTTGGAAGCAAGGAAATTGTCGTAAGGAGGACTCGTGCATTTGAATTCAAAAGATGGCGGGGAAGAAGATGGTGTCTGCATAGGTGAGTTTGGAGGAGTGGAAGGAATGGCAGACATTTTGGGAGAGTATGTGCTCAGGAGGGAGCTTCTGCCAACTCTGTCCCAGCTCTGAGGGTTGTACACTGCCGCAGATATCCCACGTTCCTTGAGTAGCCACACCAGCCCCAAGGATGTGCTCATCGTAGTTGTGGACTCCCGAAGGTTAGTGGAAGATTCCACTAAACTCAGACGTCGAGGTGTGCACGGGGTAGCCACTGGGGTGCCTTTCAAATTGCCAACGCTGCTACAAGCTGGAGTAGGTGCTGCACTAAGGCTGAAAGGAGGGAAAAACCAAAAAGATGAGTTAAGGTAATCACTGAATCTTCCAATGCTAACATTGATTTAGGATGTTTATGAGCTGCTACCTGGAGAACATGTGCTGTGAATACCTTTGAGATCAGCTTGAGCAAACATGTTTGCCTAAGGTGGCCAGAGCAATGTTTTTTCAATAGTCCCACTGCGAATGAAGATACTTGACTTTGGTCCATAGGAAAAATTGGGTAGAAGGAGCATTTGATAGAAATGATAAATATTTAACAGATTAATAATACTACAGCTCTTTATAAATAACCTAAAAGGATACAAAAACATGGCTGAACCACCATGCTCCTATTTTATCAGGAGCTAATACAGTGGTTATGAACCTGTGGGTCCCTAGGTGTTTTGGCCTACAACTCCCAGAAATCCTAGCCAGTTTACCAGCTGTTAGGATTTCTAGGAGTTGAAGGCCATCTGGGGACCCACACGTTGAGAACCACTGAGCTAATATAATAGCCATACTTGTCCTTGACGCCTGGATAATAAAAAAAAGAAAAAGAACACCATGGTGATTTCAATGCAGAGGTTCTCTAATCATGTCCCAAAGGGATCTTTGAATCTTGTTAAAATAAAATATAAGTTTTACCTAAATGAGTGGGAATACTACAATTACAAGTGAGTCACTACAGTTGCTTAGTTGAATGCTGTAACCATGATCTATGTACAACAAGATAACAATATCTGTGAAAAAGCTTGTAGTTTCTATTATGGTGGTTTCTTTCATCAATCCTACAATTAAATCAAATGTGCATATAGAAACCAGAAGTGTCACAGCTGATCCTGAGAGTATCCGATATCTATCCCTCCAAAAGAAGGTTGGGTATTATTAAGGGAAATTCTGAACAGATGGCCTTTCACTCCATAATAATGTTATGTTGGCGACTCACACTTGTCATGCTTGATGAGCATTCATCTCAACTCACAAAGAAACTATGAATCTCCTGACTTCCCATCTCCCGCAAGCAAACTCCAAGCAACGGATCAGAAAACATCAATCAAAACTCAATGCCATTAAAATAATGCAGGACAGGCAATGTGCACACTAAAATGCATGCAGATTTAAATATTTTTCACAATTCTATTAATTTTATTAATTACAGACATTCCAGCCTAACAGCTGATTCTTCCATTTCAAGTGTAGACTGGTTGACATTCGGACTTTTTTTTTCCATGTCAGGAGCGAATTGAGAAACTGCAAGTCGCTTCTGGTGTGAGAGAATTGACTGTCTACAAGGACATTGCTCAGGGGACATCTGGATGTTTTACCATCCTGTGGGAGGGCTTCTCTAATGGGAAGCTGGAGCTGACAGATGGGAGTTCACCCATTTCCTGGATTTGAACCACCAACCGTTCGGTTAGCAGGCCTGCCAGCACAAGGGTTTAATCCATTGTGCCACCGGGGGCTCCTGACATTCTAGCTGACTGTCCATTTTGATTACAGTGGTGACAACAGGAACACAAGGTATTTTAAGGCTATTTAATATCCTAACTGGTGTTGAGAAACCTCATGATACATCATTTTACTATGGCGATACCTACTGAATCTGCAGCAATACTGTAACTGAGTTCCAGGTTCAAGTTGCTCTGCAACACTTTGTTTATAGACAGCATCACTATATATTGGTGAACATTATGTTTATGAAGCAAAAGACTAGCAGAAGCAGCATAGAGGTTGGTTCATACAGGCAACTGTCTTGTATGTAGAGCAATTATGATGACAAGAATATCTGAGGAACCATTACTGTGAAACTGCTCTGTGAATGGATGTTCTTTATATGTTGAAAATATAGTCCAAAGTGCAAGGGTTTATGAAGACTATGAAATTTTGCAGTAGGATTTATGCATGTCATGGCTCCTGGCAGTTATGACAAAAATTATGGAGCTGTTCCTGCACACTTTGTGAAAGGTGGCTTAAAAATATTTTTTCATCAGTATATTTCATATGCTATATATGTCTCAGGAAAGGCTAGCTGCCTTTCCAGATTGCATGGATATTTCCAAACAAACCTTCACAGTGACTGGGAAATGTGTTGACCAACTCACAAATCTGGTTCCAAATGGCTGTCAACTGAAGAGGCTAGTTTGTGTTGACTACCAAGTCACAAAACTCCAGATACACCTTCAGATGCAGACATTGAAGAAAGCATCTTTAGTCATTCAAATAGTATTAAACCACCCACAGCTTGAAAATAGTTTAAAATTCGAAAAAGCAAACACCAAATTTGCCATTTTCTATAAGGGACACCATTCTAAATATCATCCAAGGACTTTGATATCCATGATGAGCCCTGGAACCAAATACCCAGCAAATACCAAGGACCCATTGCATAAGAGAGTGATTTTACCATACACTCTCTTGTAAAAGAGAATTGTAGTTCCATTTGTTTGTACAACTAGGTTTGACTGATGATACTAAAAAGCAGTGCTTCCTATGGCATACGAGCAGAGTGTTTCCCCAATGTATCAGGGACCAGTGCCATTTTTGTGCCCATTGGCTATAATAATTTATTTCTTAGACATTTGCTGAAGACTAGCAGCCAACAGCATCAGCATTGGTCCACAGAATCAGCATTGGTCCATAGACCATCACTCTCTATTTTAAAGCAGGAGTGGTGGGGTAGGCCAACAGGAGAAGGAACTCATGTCATCAAGATGACACAACTGAGGAGACAGTTAGTGGAAGAAAGAGGAAAGTATAGAATTTTCAATTTTGGCAATATAACAAATTTTGAATTCATGGGATTAAATTAATAGCCATTCCATTTGCTTTCTAAAACACTTGATTTACTTTCAATAAATACTCAGCGACAACACTAACTGCATAATAAATCATTACAAACTGGTGCAGTTTTTAAAAATATGGTTAGTTTCTGAGATTCACAAAATCAAGGAAGAGGAATGTGTGTGTGCTTGCATCACTTTGTGCAAGTTCATCTCTAAGGAATTGGGTTTTTACATTTTATTCCCTTTTTCAAAGGAGCCTGAAATGCCTCCTTAGGTATAAATGTTTGGCACTGTGTAAAATGTCAACAACAACAAACGGGGGGGGGGGGGGGGGGGGGGGGGGTAGATTGGACTTTATGCTCCTTGTGGTCTCTTCTAACTATGATTCCATGTCATGGCAGAGATTGAAATTCTTTCCAGGAAATCCCAGCTTACTTTTCTTGCGTGTTGGACACAAGCAGCCAGTGAAGATATCCAGAAAGAAGTAGACCTCAAACCTGTACATAAAATTCAGATACTGTACTAAAATGCATGGAAGAAGCACCTGCATTTTATAGAAGGCATGTCGGAGTTGAAAATATACTATTATCTGGAAATGTTTAGTGATGCATTAACAGAGTAACTTTTTCATATCCTCCAGCAAAGGATCACCGCCATCTATTTTCCATGTAGCTCTTTATTGTTAAATGCTGATAATGCAAGGCTCAGTGTGTGCAAGTTTTGGAAGTGGGGAGTCTCATAGCTACAAAAAATATTCTTGCCCTCCACTCTTGCTGTAAGGTGAGTAGTTTCCACCCTTTATTGATGGAGAATTTATTTGCCTGAATAAACATCTCCATATGGTTTTCTGTAGGCTGTGGGAAGGTTCTTGTGGTCCTTCAGATTCCAATGGTCTACAGTTACCAGTCCTAGGTAGCATAGACAGTGCTAAGGATATGTGGAACCACACAACATTTAGAGGACTACCAGGTGTCCACCTTTGCTATATATGAACATCCACATTTCTGTAATGCTGGTGGCTCCAAAAAGTTGTCACTGTAATGGGAATGAAATTGTCAATATGAAGATAAGCCATGGCGAAGAACTGAATCATACTAGCTGTGTGTCTCTTATTCTAGAACAGGGGTCCTCAAATTTTTTAAACAGAGGGCGAGGTCACAATCCCTGTTGGAGGGCCGGATTATAATCTGAAAAAAGCATGAATGAATTCCTATGCACACTGCATATATCTTATAAAAACCCCACTTAGAAACAATACAATAAATAAAATGAAGAACAATTTTAATAAATATAAGCCTATTAGTATTTCAATGGGAATTATGGGTCTGCTTTTGGCTGATGAGATAGGATCGTTGTTGTTGTGTGCTCTCAAGTCATTTCAGACTTAGGTTGACCCTGAGCGAGGGCCGGGTAAATGCCCTTGGAGGGCCGTATCAGGCCCTTGGGCCTTAGTTTGAGGACCCCTGTTCTAGAAGATGGCAATGCTAAATGACATTATCTGAGACATGAAAAATATAGCTACATTAATATTAGGTAAATTCAAAACAGATTTAGATAGATTTTATTGTATTGGCACTTAATAAAAGGCATGAACACTTCGCTTCCCCGTATTTGCATTGTCTTTTTAAAACAAAATCCTACCCCAACTAAAGTAGACCGGATGAATCAATTGAGCTTACCTATGAGTTGACTCAAATAATTCAACTGGTCTACTTTAAATGGGACTAACCAATAGGTTTCAGCCCTATGCATTTGTCAAAATAATAATAATAACTTTAATAGCAATTTTAGGTTGTAATACTTCTTTGTCTGGTTCTGTGTGTTTTTTCTTATGCTTCCCTCTGAAGTAGCACAAAGTTTATATTTGTCACCTAAGGGCTGAGAAGGGCGGCATACAAATATAGTAAATAAATAAATAGTAATTAAATATTGCTTTTGTCTGTATGTAAACAAAAAAAGGACAATTTCAGAATAATTCAGCCAAGTATACCTATATTACATTGATTCCCAAAGAACATAGCAAACAGGATGCTAGATGTTCTCTCAGTTGACAGTATTTCCTTTATTATATCAACCAGAGATAGGGCCTTGTATGTGGGAGAATGAGACAAAATTTTATCTGACAACCAAAAGAATTGTCAACTGCCACCACCTCAAATCTCTTGTCTCCAGATTAATGTTAGAGTCTAAAAACTCAGCACTTTACTATATGGAATTTTAGAATTTTGTTAGAAGGTCACCTCATGTTAGGATGTTAGGTTAGAATGGAAAGTAGGAATGGGATTGGTAAGAAGTCTTTGAATTAGCTGGTATCACAAACACTAGCATTCCTTCTAAATTACTCTGTCAGCACAGAGGTTGCTGGCAGTAGTGCTCACCCCCTGTCACGCTGGTCATAATGTCTGCCCTACATCTCCTCTCAGCATAAGGTGACATAAAGCAGATTCATCGTCTTCCTCACATGACCTGTGAAGAAGCATCATTCATAGTTTAAGGAGGTTCTCTTCCCATTTCCTTACATTGATATCACTGGTTCTCGATCAACAATGAATATGAAAGAAGCAAAGCTCAGGACCATCTGCTAGAGCCAAGTATAGTTATCTGGGTATAGTAATGAGTTTAGTAACAACTGCATTGTACACAGAGTTTGACAAGATACAAAGTACATTTGTATTTAAGCAATAGGGATCCCTACCAGAGGTTCAACAGTTGCCAGTACTTCGCATAGTAAAATCAATGACTATTTTTTGGATGCTGCTAGGGAGAGAAAAGGACAACGGGGAACAGGAATGTAGAAAACCAAACACATTATATAAGAGTGAATGTGTCAGTGAGAGAGAGAGGGTATGTGCATGGGAGAGACTTCCCTCAAGTAGGAAGCACATTTACCATATATACTTGAATATAAGCCGAGTTTTTCAGCCCTTTTTTTGGGCTGAAAAAGCCTCACTCAATTTATACTCAAGTCAAGCCGGGCCGCTTATTACATTTATTATTTTTCCATATTTATTATTATTGTTATTATTACATTTATTCTTCTACTCTATTTATTATTATTAGTATTACATCTATTATTTCACCCCATTTATTATTGTTTGTATTACATTTATTATTTTACTCTGTTATTGTTATTATTACATTTATTATTTTACTCTATTATTATTGGAAGGATACGTAAGCACACTTACATTGAAGAAGGTTAGAACAGAGGTTTAATCAGAGTTGGACAGTCTTATCTTAAATTATGTAAATATTCAAAAACATTTATACTACTGATGCCTCAATTAATGTAATTTTATTTTATTTTATTCCCTATTTTTATTTTTTTAAATTTACCAGTAGCTGCTGTGTTTCCTACCCTTGGCTTATACTCGAGTCAATAAGTTTACCCAGTTTTTGTGGTAAAATTGGGTGCCTCAGCTTATATTCGGGTCAGCTTATACTCAAGTACATATGGTACTCTTGGGCTGTACTATTCTTTCCTTAATTTCTTTGGTAAAAGTAATGGTGTATTTACACTGTAGAATTCATGAAGGTTGATTCCCCTTTAATGGCATTAGTTTAATGCCATGGAATCATGGTAGTTGTAGTTTTGAAAGGTTTCTAGCCTCCTCTGTTTAACGGTGCCTCATCAAACTACAACTCCCAGGATTCCACAGCATTGAATCATGGCCATTAAAGTGGTGTCAAACTGCATTAATTCTACAATGTAGATGCACCCTAGGAAGGCATTCAAATAAACACACCCCACACCCCAGAACTAGTGGAAGACCTAGGATAAAATGCTAGAAGGTGCACTCATTCAATGTTTGGTCTGTGAACAGTGTTTGCTTTCAAGATTTTCCAATCATTTCCCTTCTTCCATCTATTACCTTCTTGCTCAAAGCTGGTCAGCAATCCGTGACTACTAAATTATCATAGGGCTTTCTTGCTTGTTTTTCATTCCCTTAGCCTTTTTCCTGTTCATTGCTATACCCCACAAATCTTGAAGCACTCCAAGCATATTTATACTTTCTTGCTGTTTTGCAGAACCCCTATTTTGGCTACAAAGCCACCATAGTTTAATATTTGCTTTTACTACATACAATGTCTCCAAATATTGGAGAAAACCCATATTCAGAGTCATTGAGCATGAATCATTCAGCATGAATTGCTTAAACTTTAAAATATTTTAATGTGATGCTCCTATTGCTGGGTCTGTTACATATTTCTACGGATATCTCCTGAATATTTTTATGGAAGTATTTTCACTTTTTTTCTTCAATCGTATACATTATTTCAGATTACAATTGCTCTGAATTTTTTCAGTCATCATATCGGTAACATATCTTTCAAAATGGACTTTAGAAAAAGGTATCTTCTAATTTGTTAATTATTTAAATATTATCCAGATATGTGAACTAACATGCTGATGAAGTTGTTTAAAAGCATCCCTGTACTTACTACTATTATTATATGAGTATGTATGAGTTACTGAAGTTGCAAATTCATTTCAAATAATGACTTATAATAACAATAAAATTGCCACAAAGTGCAGCTGCAGAACGCAACCACTGAATAGTTGCCTATGTGTAAAGCCATCTTAAATCCCATTCGGGGTTGAGAAGGGCAGGGTATAAGTATGGTAAATAAATAAATAAATAAATAAATAGAAACATATGGTAAATAAATAAATAAATAAATAAATAAATAAATAGAAACATCTAGTTTAGGGAACTTCAGGAATGTCTATTTTGCATATTCTAATGTACAGGAACTGCAATACATCTATGAGGCAGAATGTTTACCATTTCTTTGAAGACCAATACTTGGATAATATTAGGAATTCTCCAAGCTATGGGCAACCTTGCCTATATCTTTACAGATTATTTAATTATCTTCAATATTATATTAGCATTATTTCAAGTATTTTTCCCCTAGGGACATCTTCTAGCCATTATATCTTTGCTTCAATGTATACCCGCTGACCGCACTACGGAACATGGTATGAAGTTATAAAATTAAACCTTTGAATTTAAAAATTATTAGAGGCACATCACTTGTGTTGAGGGTACACTGTTAATTTCTGATATTTACCAGCTGCAGATAGCGTAAAAAAGACAGATTCTAGACTTCTCAGGTGGCTTTATATAGTTCTTATGTATATGGTAGTGATCATATTTGGGAGTGAATTCAGGTACTTTCTCAGTCCTTCACCAGATGACTCCAATTGTAAAATATCAGTGTTTTACACCTTGTCTATTCTTTGGCTGCTCCACAGCAAGGAGCCACCAGAGCTCTCTACAACCCCTTACCTTGGAGTGACTCGTGTGAGCTCATCTGAAGGGTGCAGAATGCGGCAGGTGGTGAAGGTGAAGGTGGAGTTGGTTTGTGACATGCACTTCCCCGGATGATGTACTACATTAAAACAAATAGAACAATCTTTGCATTTATATACAAAATGAAAAGTACTGTGTACTCAAACAGATGGAAAAGTGATAAGGTACTTCATGTAGGATCGGTGTAAGGAAGGTGAAATGGACATTTCCAATTTGCTTATACCTCGGATCTCTTCAACACACCAATATCCACAAGACAACCCTGGCTCTTTATCACCACTGATAGCATGTATTCAACTGCAACAGAGCTATCATTAAGTTCTAAATATAACTTAACCCTTGATGCTTAAAAGATTATGGAGTCACCAAGACATTGAGTGTTTGCTTTTTTGTCTGGAAGCTGTCAGGTTTTGTCTGGTTACTTTTCATACCAGCGTTATCCTTTAACACCACCTAATCAATGTTGATATTATACCATTGTGACAACTACACACAATGGAAACACAGAAACATACAGATGTTTTAGTTGGTGGATTTCAGCTTCCTCCAAACTGATCCTTGCAAAAGTTATCTCATCACCTTTTGTTTCAGTAATGGATCCTAGTAGAGAGACAGCAGAAGATTTTGAGATGTGTACATTAGAATACAGTTTTCTTTTGTAACCAGAACTCATAAGTAACCATTTTGGATCCACTACTATCCCAACTGTGACATTTTCTCGCCTCTCCCCTTTCCCCCCAACAATGAAAGAATTTCTGCAGCTACACACAATAGCAATTCTGTGACATTTCTGCATAAAATATTCTGACACACTAGAAAGGAAACAGAAGTGTAATACCTTGTGATACTGCAACAAGACATTTAATTGTTGGCATCACAGATTTTAAGAGTCTTACTATATTTTATTTTAAAAGTCCTTAATTTGTATTTATAAATTGCCATAAGTGCAGCTGCAGAATGCAAACTCGAACTGACCATAATGTATGTCATGCTACTGAAAATTGCCTGAAACCCATCCTACATTTTAATGCAATCTATGTGTTAACTGTTGGAAATCATAACCTTCTACAAGACTCCTATACTAGTTATTTGTTATGTATAAAACTCAGACTGCTTAGTATATTGTAGGCATATTTTGCTATGTAGTTTTTCCTTAACTGTATGTTGTTTGAGGTTGTGGGAGAGACTACAGACCATGTGACCAGATTTGGGACTATTCAGACTGAGACTCCATTTTAAAAGTCAGTTTTGCACCAGAAGCAGTACAGTACAGTTTAGAAGTAAAGTCAGTGTCAGTATGCTGCGGTGTGTATTGAGTTAATATTCAGTAATGTGTTAGAGAGTGTCAGTCTGTTCACAATAAAGAAGAGAAAGAGAATGCTTTGCTGTTTAAACTCTCATCCAACAAGCACTGTACCTGTATGCTCAATGCATGAAGTTTGTAAGTAAATCAACTACTTATTTATGAACTCTTAAGAGCATGATTTATAAGCAATATATTTTATGGGAGAGTGGATGTTTTTGAGCAACTGAAATAACACTTCTGAAGATCTGCTACATATTTTGTGCATTGGCATATCTTTGTTCCTAACAGTTCAGAGAGATAACCAGGTACTGTATATCAGTCTAACAACTGAGAAACCTAATTTGCCTTGCATGAATACTAGTGGATATTTACTACTAAGGGGAAGATCCACTCAAATGAATATTTAACTTTTCTCAGGAAGATCATACTTGTGTTGTGATAAATCCAAATAGTCTGAATGCCAATTAATCTCCAAAAAGGGTCATGCTTCCAAAAGGCTATGGAGATTTCTGGTTTCCCAAAAGGTTATGATCTATAAAAGGTCATGCCTTTCCAAAACTCACTTATACATGAATAAGTATATGTATTTTGTGAAGTTTAAAAAGAAAACAAACATGCCAAAGGGTGTGTAAAAAGGTAAGGAATTCCCCTTGACATTAAGTCTAGTTGTGTCCAACTCTGAGGGGTGGTGCTCTCATCTCCATTTCTAAGTCGAAGAGCCGGCGTTGTCCGTAGACAACAGCTAGCTTCCTGCCGAGACGGTACCTATTGCTCTACTCACATCTGCATGTTTACGAACTGCTAGGTTGGCAGAAGCTGGCCCTAATATTGAGAGCTCGCCCTGCACCCTGGATTTGAACCACCAACCTAACAGTCAGCAATTTCAGAAGCTTAGCGGTTTAACCACTGTGCCACCAAGGGGGCATTGAAGAGTGTGTAGTGTTCTATTATTATTTATCAATGTCCTGGCATGTTCAGATTAGACAATGATAACGTGGACTAAGTACAAGTCCAAAATAATATGGAATGGAAGTTTATACTTAAAGGAAACAGGCAAAGTAGCAGCATAGAAATGTACCTGTCGTTTTCTTGATTCTAACAAGGAAACAACTGCATGAGGACACCACTATACTGAAACAAGACCACTTTCTTGACAGTCTGTATCATAGGGTTACTGTTATAGGGTTACTCATCTCCCTTCTGACATATGACATACTTTATGGATAGCCCTTTTGTTGCAACATAATTCAGGAAATCAGAGGCCATGCATCCAAAATGATCACCAAGGAATGATCCAAAGTTAAGTACTATTGTGAAGATATCATGATTGCATAGGTGCTCTTATTTAGTAACAAGTCTTTACAAATCACTCTAGTTAAGACATGCACAAGAACATGCTGGTGAGTTTCCTGTGAATATTTATCTTCATTCACCTAACATTTAAGCATCCACAAAACATTACTTTGGACAGATACATCACACCCAAATGCCACTCTAAAGTTCGCAAGAGGCTGAGAAACATACAATGTTTTTCATTTGCTGTGTCTACATTTCCTCGACATTGGAGGCAAACAAAACAAAATAATTAATATGGCTCATGTGTAGCCATGCAGTTTTTATATATGAAAGAGCTACGTATGTAAAAGTGCTTATGCAGGTGAAAAGTGACTTGAAGTGGAGCTAGTTCTCCCCATCCTAAAAAACGATCCACCACACAGTGTTAAATATTGCATTATTGGTTAACACAACAATTAACAGTACAATGTTTTAAAAAATCTCTACATCACCTCTAGACATGTTGCTGCTGATGCTTCAGAGTTCAGTGTAAGCAATGTACATGAGTTAATACTTAAGGAGTGGTTGGGCAGGGCCTAGCAATCATGATTCTCTGCACATCATGAAGCATAAGCAGAAAGTTAAAATGGTTGATAAAATGTCAAATAACCAATATAGAAATATATATTATATGGAGAAACATATATATTGAAAGTTGAGACATAAATCAAGATAAGGTAGAACAGCTCAGTGCTAGCTGACAAATAAAAACAGACAAATGCAGTGAAAATCTGAATTTAGGTGATTGTTCTCGCTATGGAATATAGTTAATCCCAATCTGCAGCACCCCTTCTACCAATTTTGTTTTCTCAGAGAATTATATTAGTATTCCAGAAGCAGTAAGAAAATGAAAAACAACTCACTGCTATGAATGAATATGCAAGATAGGAAAAGGCTGCTAAAAGTAGCAATTGAGCCCAGAATGAGGAGTAATCAAAGAGAAACCAATTTTGAGAAATCAAAAGGACTGATCCTGAAAGATAGCACTAGGGAAAACCTGGACAAACAGCATCTCCAGTGGTCAACAGCGAAGCTTTTCACACGACTGTAGCATCCTCTGTCCTTTGAACATAACAGAAAAGAGTGAGCCTCCTGTAAATGATCCGAGAAGTACACACATGAAGGCTGAGATGAGGCATTTCTATGCAAAAGGGCACAAAAATCTCAACCTTTTGGGTGGAGTACACTATAAAAGGACGGTTCTTTCAATTGCAAGAAGATACAGTAAATATACAACAAAACCTAAATGTATACAAAAGGATTATCCTCTTCACCAGTCACCAAAGATGGGTGCAGTCCAACATATTCTTGTAACTCACCAATCACAATCCTGTTATGTAAAAAAGAATAGGACCTCCACCTTCATTCACTTTTGTACCACTGGACTCAAATGGACCAAAACGAAATATTACGTACAGGCAAAGCACTTAAAATTCATTTTGAATTCCAACAGAATGTACATAACTAACTTGTCATGGGATCATCACTCTGCTCTTGTGATGTTCTCAAGCCTATCATATGAGTGGATAAATGTGAATTGGTCCCAAGGAAAACATCTGAAAAACACTAATAGGATCAGAAGTGGAAATATAACTTCCGGCCCATCTTTTTTTGGGATCAATCAGACACACAGAATGCAATATATCAAAAACGACAGCTTCCCCCCAGCAATTTGGACAGCACACTTTGGTAATCCCTAGAGCAGTGGTTCTCAACCTATGGGTTTCCAGATGTTTTGGCCTACAACTCCTAGAAATCCCAGCCAGTTTAGCAGCTGTTAGGATTTCAGGGAGTTGGAGGGCAAAAAATCTGGGAGGACACAGGTTGAAAACCACTGCCCTAGAGCAGCGATTCCCAAACTCCAGTCCTCCAGATGTTTTGGACTTCAACTTCCAGGAGCCACAGTTGCCTTGGAAAATGGACAGGGATTCTGGGACATAGAGTTCAAAATACCAGAGCTTGGAAAACACTGTCCTAGAGAGTGCACTTCCCAATTTTATGAACAAAAAGCCTTAAATGTATCTTTTAAAATACCCCATATATTTTTAGGTTATAAAACCCATTATTTCTCTCATATGGGAGTTGTAGTTCAAGACATTTGGAGAATAACATGTTGCTTTCCAACACAAATATCAGTATGACATAGAAATAGGGTGGGACTAAGATAGAGATCTGTCTAATGCTTCGTGCAGTAGACAGTCTGGGAAATAACAATTTACAGTGCACTTTCATTCTTTTGCTGCAAGAGGGAGCACTGTACCACTAAGAATCTGGCAGATTTTCACATATATCCTTGCAAGAGATAAATGACCTCATCACACAATTGGATGATATGTCTTTCTTTAGAAGTTGTTGACTGCAATTCTCTCACTCATCACCACTGGCTATGCTTGCCAAATGTAATGTTGGGTGCAGTCCAACAAATTATGGAAGGTCACAAGTTGACTATGTGTGCCTCACTGCCTTGCAAAGTCTTTGCTCTGGGTGGCATACCCACATAAGTAAGGATATTGGGTAGTCTCCATGAATTGCAGAGAACTCTAAAGGAAGTACCCTATATCACACTAAGGGCAGATCCAGAAAGGCCTTTATTCCCAGGAGAATCCGTGTTTAAAAACACGGATTTTCCTGGGGTTCTGTCCACACCCACCCCAGAAAACGTGCACTTTTTGGGGTGGGTATCCAGATACTCTTGCAGGACTGGCCTGCGAAAACATCTGGAGGCCCTACCCCCTCTGCTGAAGCCCCCAGACTCCTTAGAAAAGTAACGAAAATTTACCCAGTCTCCCATTAAAGGCTTTGGCCAGCTCTCCTGGCTCGTAGAAATGACGTGCCAGAAAAGCGCACGCGGGGGGGGGGGGGGGGGGGGGTGGTACTGTCTGGAAGGGCCCTAAGCTTTGGAATAGGCAGAGGTTTCATCTCCTTTGCAGTTGAATGTAACATATGCATTTTCATATCAAATTACAACTTTGCCATCACAAGAAATCTTTTGGGTTGCTGGACTATATGGCCATGTTCAGAAGCATTCTCTCCTGAAGTTTCCAATAGACCTCACAACCTCTGAGGATACTTGCCATAGGTGTGGGCAAAACGTCAAGAGAGAATGCTTCTGGAATATGGCCATACAGCTCGGAGAACTCACAACAACCTGGTGATTCCGAGCAACCCAGTGATTCCGGCAATGAGAGCCTTTAACAACACAATAAATCTTTTGTTTTCTAAACCCAACTTCCTTAAATATTGGCACACCCAGGTAAATAGCAGCTTCAATGGAAGGATTTGTATGTTACAACTTTAGAGGAAAGAGCTTTAAAAAATCCCAAGGTCATCCTATATTGTAATCCAAAATCTAGATTAAGGCTGCAACTGCAATTAAACACAACTGTGAAAATTATTTACTGTAATAGTTTGGTCCTAAAGAGGGTGAGAGAGTACTTGTGTTTGGTCACAAGATCTGTTTACTACCTCCAGTTCTGAATAAATACAAGCACAATAGCCCAAATTCTGCTTCAACGGAAAATATAATTTTGCTATAACAATAACACAAGTGCATAGACACAAAATCAGTATAAAAACATGGCTTTTCTCCCAGGACCTAAACAAACCACATTCTTTTAGCAGCCTTCTCTTATCAAAGTGAGGTGAGGGTGGAGGGAATGAATCATGCATTTTTTAAAAATATATATAGATATAGCCATGATTGTGTTAGATGTAACAGTTCTGAAATGGGCTCAAGTTAATTCTTGTGTGCACTATCGTGCAGAAGCTACACACGAAGCAACACCGTGGATGCTGCTCTGGAGAGAGGTGAGAATGGCCCAATAATCAACATCCTGAAAACATGGCAGTTGTGCTGGACTTAATGAGGTTCCCTCACCAGACCCCTCATCATCGTCAGTCGCGGGTTCCTGCATCTCCTCTGGAAAAGCCTGAGAGCGACTTGGGTAATTCTCGCTGTCTGAAACAGTCACTTGTGCTTGGGACCTCTCACCTGAGGTCTCAGTGTGCTGAATCGGCGTCGAGGTAGCTAGGCCCTTGTATGCAATGTCACCTGACTCATCTTCTTCAAAATCATTAAGGCAGTATACTTCATCCAGGTCAACGTCCAGAGTCCGGAAGCCCTTAGTAACAACCCCTGGCCTTGGGTCTAGAATGCCTCCCAGGTGAGGCTGGGCAAGCTGCTGCCAGTGGTGCAAAGTGGCAGAACCTGAGGAGTTAAGAGACCAAAGGAACAGTCAGAACAGAGATCTCACTCCAAAGTGAAATGGTTCCAATCCCACCATTTGTTTCAAGCATCACCAGGACTTACACTGTTTAGTAAAATGTCTCCCCAGTGGGAATTTGGATAAGGTAAAGGTTAAGGTAAAGGTTTCCTTTGACATTAAGTCTAGTCATGTCTGTCTCTGGAGGTAGCTGCTCTTCTCAATTTTCAAGTTGAGGAGCCTGCGTTGTTCATAGACACCTCCTGGTTGTTTTGACCGTCATGATTGCTTGGAGCATCTTTTTGCCTTTTCCCGCCGAAGCGGTACCTATTGATCTACTCACATTTGCATATTTTCAAACTGCTGGGTTGGCAGAAGCTGGGGTTAACAGCGGGAGCTCACCTGCTCCCAGGATTCAATCTGCCAACCTTTCAATCAGCAAGTTCAGTAGCTCAGCGGTTTAATCTGCTGCACCACCATGGGGCCAACCGCTACTTATGAACTCATTAAAAATGATAGCAAGCAAGACTAAAAGCGTGCTATTTTTTTTTAAAAAAACAAAACATCCTAAAATCTGTATGTTTTTTATTTGAATTTTTAAACTTCAAGTTCCATAGAGATAAGATTACAGGTCCTCCAAAAAATTTAAATATTTTCTATGTTTAAAAAAATGGCCATGTCTTTTAAATTAGGATTAGAAAGGCCATTGTTATGTCTATAAAGGCACACATATGAAACCTTGGCTCTATTGCAAAACTCCTTCAGCTTGTCTTGGGCAGGAAAACAATGAGAAATTACAACTTTCTACTTCATCGCACTAAAGAAAAAATCAATTTAAAATCTGGTTTCTGCCTCCTGCAGAATTCTGGTGTTTGTAGTTTAGTGAGGCTGTTAAAGGCTCCTCCCTAAACTACAAAACCCAGAATTCTGCAGGAGGCAGAAACCAGATTTTAAGTAGATTTTTTTCTCTAGTGTGATGAGGCCCACTGCCATTACAAGAAATATTTTGTCTTCCAAACCAACTTCCTTAAATACTGGCACACCTTGATAAATCGCAGCTTCCCATATATTTAAAACTTCACATAAAAATAATAAAATAACAGAAGAAATGTAAGTTTAAAAATCATACTAGTATCCATAATGGAAAATGTTCAGTAAATATAAACTTCAAATATTTCTGTACAGTAAGAAATTATTGGAAGAAAAGTATTGGATGTTTTTAAACAGAGGCCAGAAGGCAACCTGTCAGGGAGGATTTTGCTGTGTATTTAAGCATTGACAGAAAGCTACACTGAACTACCCTTGGAACATTTCTAACACTATAATTTTATGATTCTGTATTTCTAAGTTTTTCAAGGAAGAATGATTGAAAGTTGACATGCTACAAATACAGTCTGGAACTGACTGCTAAAGGTTAACACTACGAACTACATCAGCTCTATAACTAACTAAATAATAGTGATTTCATATTCTGGTTGTATGATTGCAAAGCACACTATTATTTGCACAAAGCTTGCTAAATACATAAAATATGTTTTACTATACCTGTGAATTCATCCTTGAGTAGGTAATAGAAGACATAGTTTTTTTAAAAAAGCGTAACACATGCAACACAAATTAAAAACAATCAGTCTAAGAGCATTCTATACTCAAGATTTGTTTTGATGCAGATTTAAATCCAGAGTTTAAAGAAAGCAGTGAGACAACTTCATCAAAGGGATTGGATGGGATTTATGTTTATGTTTTATATTTAAATATATACAGGATACTGTTCCTCTCTGCAACATCACTGCATTGCTGTTGCTGTTTCTGGTATGCATTATAATTTCTAGGTCAAAATCTAGGTTATGTTGGTTATTTTGATCTCTTCAGATATTATGCTGTACATCTTCTTTAAATATAATTTAAATATTTTACATTATACAGGTTTTTGGAAAGCTATTATAATGTAATTTGAATGTCATGTTCTTTTTCTTTTTCATTTGCTCATTAGATCTATAGCCTCATAATAAAGACAATGGACTGAATACACTGAAACGTTTGCATGATGTTTCAACATTATACAACAGGAAATCTGTAAGTCCTATCACCCATCACTACTGATTTTATTACTAGAGAACATGTCTTGAGTCCAGATTATTTGATAAAACCTATCTCCCCATATCAGTGGTTCCCAACCTTTGGTCTTCCAAGTGTTTTGGACAACTCCCAGAAATCCCAGACATTTTACCAGCTGTTAGGTATTATGGAAGCTGAAGTCCTAAACACCTGGAGGACCAAAGGTTGGGAACTACTGCGTTATATGAACCTGTCCAAGCTCTTAGATCAGTGGTTCTCAATCTGTGGATCTCCAGGTGTTTTGGCCTACAACTCTCAGAAATCCCAGCCAGTTTACCAGCTGTTAGGATTTCTGAGAGTTGAAGGCCAAAACATCTGGGGACTCATAGATCGTGAACCATTGTCTTAGATCATGCCTGGTGAGGACACAGGAGAACCCTCTCAGTGGATAGTTTCATCCCTTTAGCTGAGGAGCCTTTGGGCTTTTAATATGATGTGGTAAGCTGAGCTTTTAATCGAGGGAGGGCACTGTTTAATTGAGTTTCATATCTGTGTCTAAAAATGGCTTTTTCACCTGCATTTTCAAATAGTGTTTTAAATGGAAATTTGATCTAAATGTGTTTATCAACTGCTGCTCTGGGCCAGAGTGAAAGGGGGGGGGGGGAGAGAAGATAGTTCCACCTTGTCTCCTGTGCTATTCTAATAATATAGTATAATGTAATATAATATAATATAATATAATATATTGTATATACATATAATATTTATAATATTATAATGTAATGCAATATAATCCTAATAATGATATGATATTATAATTACATATTTATATTACATGTAATATTACTAATAATATTACAACATAATGGTATAGTACAGTATAGTAGTATTTAATACTGATATTATACTATGCTAACAATATAATATATTGTATGTATATATATCTTCTTGTAAGCCACTCTGAGTCCCCTTCGGGGTAAGAAGGGTGACATCTAAATGTCGTAAATAAATAAATAAATAAATAAATAAATAAATGAATAAATATTAACCTTTGCACTGAAAGCTTGGATCAAATGTTGGGAGAAAGGCAGAATGTAAATAATTAAATAAATGAATAGACAAATACAAACACATAGAGGTACCTAAATTCTCCTGGTTTTTTTAAAAATAAGCAGATCTCTCAATATTTTCACATTTGCATCATTTTGGTTTTTTAAGGAAGTAATTTAGAGGCCTAACTTTTCAAGGGTATAAATAAGAATTGAACTGACACACATCACATTGATTGACAGAAACACAGCACTCCCACCTACATTATCTATGCATCTTAAGTTTCTTTATGGGATGGGGATGGGAGTGGGACGACAGTGAAGGAAATGACTGGGGTCATATACAGTACATATTGTGGAACAGGAATGAGCTTCCGGCGGCGCAATGGATTAAACCTTTGTGCCGGCAGGACTGTAGACCAAAAGGTCAGCGGTTCAAATCCAGGGAGCAGGGTGAGCTCTCATCTGTCAGCTCTAGCTTCTCATGTGGGGGCATAAGAGAAGCTTCCCACAGGATGGTAAAACATCTAGGCATCCCCTGGGCAACATCCTTACAGACGGCTAATTCTTTCACATCAGAAGCAACTTGCAATTTCTCAAGTCGTTCCTGACATGAAAAAAAGATGGAACAAGAGTCATATGTATAGAAAATCTAGGTCTCCATGTTTTAGAATTTATGATGACTGGGCAACTGAGAGTTAGAATGTGGGTATAAAATACAGCTAAAGACTATCCAATGACACCAATAACAAATGAAGGTTTTAACATGTATACTTTGGCTCTTTAACTGATACCTTTCTGCTGACTTTATAGCTGTTCCACTGTTAAAAGATTTATCTCTAGCTAACAAGGATGTATTATAAACTAGAAACAAATCATTTATTTTTATACGTTTCTTTTAGAATGCACAGATTTGTAAGAAGAGGTGGAAAATATGTAAGCTTTCAGATGTCATTAAGAAATCAGTTCCCTTTAGTCCTAGACAGCAGGATGATGAAAGACGCAATCCAGCAACATGGGTAGGGGTACACATTCTCCATCTATATCAGGCATGAGCCAACTTTGGCCTGCCAGGTGTTTTGGACCAACTCTCAGTAGGTTGTTAGGAATTGTGGGAGTTGAAGACCAAAACACTTGGAGGGATAAGGAGGCATTCTATTAAATACTAAGTCTGTCCATGCGTGATCTATATGGTCACACCTTTTCTGTCTATATTTTTGAAAGGTGATAGTAGTGAGAAGCATGTTAAGATGGCTAAGTAAAAAAATACAGTATAGTTTTCTAAAAGAAAAGGGGTAGTCATAATGTTACCTATTTTGTAATGGAGGCTTCCTTAATGTTTATCTGAAACATGGGAACTAAAGATTGCACTGCCATGTCTTTGGGCTGCAGATTCTGCAGCAACCTATAGTTTATAAAGGCAGTGATTTAACCACGTTTTTTGTATTCTTATATGCATTCATTTTAAGAAACAGAGCAAGAAGTAATATGATGACACTCAAGAAAGTACAAAGGATTACAATTGGAAGGGGGAGCATATATGATTATGTGTAAAATATTTTTTTCAAGGTGGTGTTTCAGTCTTAAGAACGGTTTTTGCCCAAGAGAGATTTTTTTCTACAGTACATACATATAAGGACTCAAACATTCTCCACTCCCAAAACAAATGTATGGTAAACATTTTAAACTAAGGAGGCAATTGAAATGAACAGATTGTAGAAACAGGGGGGGGGATACTCAATACACAAAGGGAGAAAAAAAGAAAAGTGAAAAGGCAAGAGACAGAGAAGATGGAGACTGAACGTTTATTGAAGAAAAAAGCAGAAAAAATAAATGGATGATCGAAACCAATTACAATATCAATATCTGTAACTGAAGGTTGGCTATGTAGTATCCTTTCCCTAAAGTGTTTTCAGAATATAGGGCAGGCACTTGATGCATTCTGAAGAGAATCTTAATCCCTGATTTATCTGACCTGGTAATAGTTGCAACTTTCATGCAAAATAAGGAATTGTTTCCTCATAAAGAAGAAAAACACGAAGCATATCTTCCATGGATTCATGTACCAACTCAAAATAGTTGGCTTTAGCCTCTAAAGCCCTAAACTAGGCATGGACAAACTAATCCCTGGGGGCTGGATATGGCCCTCTGGGCAATTACCTCAGGTTCTTCTCATTTTCCCTGTCCTCTTGGCATGGCAACATGTTGACCCGCCACATCCTAATGCCAAAAAGATGGGGGAGGAAGGCACGCAGCAGCTGAGAGCTCTCTGGAGCACTCTCAGCCACTGCATGTCTCACCTTCTTCCCAGCATAAGGACGGTGTGAGTGGGAACACAGTCCTGAAGATGGGAACACAGCTCAAGGAAGGCATATGGTGGTTGAGAGCCCTCTGCAGCACTCTCAGCCATTGCCTGTCTCACCTTCCTCCCAGCATAATGTCAAGAGGACAGTTTGAGGATGGGAGAGAAGGACTGGGTAGTCGCCGCACGTCCCGGGAGAAGGATGGGGCAAGTATTATGCTGAGAGGACAACCTGAGGGTGACCCAGGCCCTGCCCTGTCCCCTCCTAGCATCACCTCTCCCAGGCCCTACCCCTCGTGGGCCAGTCCCACCCAGCATGTGAACAGCCCCACTCCTGGCCCTCCCAGCTGGGCCTGCAATGCAGTCCCAAGGCAAAAAGTTTGCCCCTGCCTTTCCTAAACAGTTCCGGCCCATCTTACCTGTCCAGACATATCTCCCTCAATGAACCATCATGGAGGTTAAGATTGTCCAGGGAGGCCCTACTCTCATTCCCACCTCCTTTGCAGGTGAGATTGGTGGGGATGAGAGACAGGGCCTTCTCAATGGTGGCCCCTCTGCTATGGAACTCCGTTCCCTAGAGAAATTAGATTAGTGTCCTTCCTCTTGGCCTTCAGAAAGAAAATGAAGAAATGGCTGTTGGACCAAGCCTTTGGACAGAAATTCTCAGTGCAATATGTGACTATGGTATAGTGCAATTTATGACTGGAATGGATCATGGAATATGCCTTTGGATTGCGTGGGTTTAATTAATTGGTTTTAAGATTGATATGTTTTAATTATTTAGTTTTAATGTATATGTTGGATTTTATCTTATGTATGTATATGTGGCATCAAACTGTGCATTTTTTGTGAGCTGCTCTGAGTCCCCTTCAGGGTGAGAGTGGTGGGATATAAATGCAGTAAATAATAAATAGTTTATGGAATACAAGTTAAAAACAGACAATTGATATATCAGGAAGTTGCAAATCTATGACTGCAAACCAAAACTGAAAACCTGTGCATAAAGGATTGCACATTTTATGTACTATAAACATTCTTAGTGTCTATGGAAATGGGGGAAGATTATATAGGCATCTTGGTCTTATTAAGGCTGAAAAGTGCCGTGCATTGGTTTGTAACAGCCAATTTCAAATCAGCTGAACAATTAAGATTCATGTAATCCAGGGCTCTGGTCTAGATATCTAGTAGCAAAACAACAATTCATTAGTTTGTGTAGATGTTCAAAAAAAGTTGACTGTTTAATACATGTTACAATTTAATGTATTACCACTCAATGTTATTAATTTTCTCTACACCTACATATTTTTATAGTATTCTCTAAACATGTAATTGAATTCAAGTGAATTTACTGAATTATAGGATTATACTCCTGAAATATATTAGAGACACTGCACAGTTTCCAACTAACTCAAGAGGTTGCTTTCTCAGAAAACAAAAACAAATAGCTTTAGCTTCAGAAGAGTTCAAATAAGCAACGTGGAAGGCTATCTCTAAAGTAAAAGGAGTATGTGTTACGGAGGTTTCCTGCTTCTTGTTGATGGAGAAGAGACCACAGACAGTCACTAAGGAGAACAGATAAAGGTCGAGGTACTTTGTTATCACCTTCTAAGGGCTTCACAATCTGGAGCTTCTCTGGGAGGTATGAGCGACTGCTGATCGACATTCCCGAATATCCAGTCAATTCGGAAAACCTGGAGTGAGTTCCCAACGACATGATGCTCTCTGTTGGAGTAATGGAGCCACTATGGTATTCTCCCTTCTCAGCCAAATCTCTCAGCTTTCTTTCTTGTTCTTCTTCAAAGAACCTTCGTTCTGACAAATAGTTCTCTCTTCGAAGAGACAGCCTCCGAAGGGCTATTTCAAGGTCACTGGAACCAGGTGTCCCTGGGGTTCCAGGTTTTTTGTTGTTTTCATCATTTCTAAATCAAAGAGAAAACAGACTTTAACTGATAATATGCTTCCAGGCAACAAGGCGAATGAAAGGAATGAAAACAAATAATCAATTTTGAACTACAACAAAAAAAAATGAGGTTTCCACCTCTCCAGGGGAGGTATATTTCACTTGAATGGCATGGATACAAGAGTGGGCAACATCCTTCGCTCTAGGGCCCAATCCTGAATATCAAGACTGCCAAGAGGAAAGACAGACTATTCCTACTTCGACCCAGAGGCACCAAGTAGATCATTTTTTCAAACACCTCACAGGCATCAGATCAATTCAGCAATGATTACACAACCCAATAAAAGAAAAATCCTGGTCTCTTGGTTTTTAGGCCTGTTCCTGGAGTTATTTGAGGCATTGATTCAGAAAATTGCCTTGGATAGACCACATCAGCTCTAGTTTCTTAGATATGTTTATTAGATATATGGATTCAGGGAAAACCATGTCCCATTTTGTGTCCTGGCTTTTGTTGGGGGACTCAATCCGAAATTTGGGGGTGGACGGTGTTTTTCCTTCTTTCATTTCAAGGACTGAAAATCAGACCATTATTAGAGGGGGGGGGGGGGGGGAGAGATTCCCATCCACTGGCTCCCCTTCCCAGCATGCATTCTTCTTACCTGGTACCTGCTGTTTCTACTGTAGAGTAAGAGGTGCTTGGCTGTAGGCACTAGCAAGCAACTCTACTTTCCAGGCCTGCCTGCACATCCCCCCCCCACACTATCCTTGGAAAAGGAGTGCATGTGTGTTGTGGCGTGGTGGCAGGCAGGCCCAGAGCAGTGCTGCAGGCACTCTCCAGGCCTGCCTACCAGTGCCTGCATACCCCGCCACACACGCATTGTCTTTACAAGGCAAGGAGGCATTGATTGAGGGCTCACCCCCTGGTTCCCAGGTCACCCAGATACCCATCCCCACATCTGTATCCCTAAAAGAGAGCAGCATCAGGGAGAAAGACAAGAAGGAGAAAGGAGGACGAAGAGAAGAAGTGTGGTGCATCCTGGAGCGTGCCTGCAGTCAAGCTCTGGGCTGGTCTGCATGAATGCATGCCACGCCACAAACATTCTCTCTTTCCAAGGCAAGCTTAGATGCACACGAAATCAGGCTGTTATCAGACTTTTGTGTCGAGCAGATTTCCATGCGGGGAGGGGGCTTCTTGTTTCGTGCTTCCAAATAAATGAAAGACACGAAAGAAATAGTAGAAATGGTAGTTACGAATTTTGTGCACATGTCTAATGGTTATCATGATTTTTTATGGGTGAGCAGATGAAGACTGGTTCATGGCATGTGTCCTGTATCTCAAAACTAGAGCTGATGGGGAAAACCAGTGCCATTTCTGGAATCAGGAGGTTAAATATACCCAAAAACAAGTCTAACATTTGAGGCACCAAAAGGTGTGTTGGCCAATGTTATCAGACAGAATATAAATTTCTCTCCATGGCCATATGGGCTAGGAAGAATTTAATTTTCTTTTTTTAAAAAAGAGGGCAGACTATCTGTAGCACAGAAAATTGTTCTAGGGACCACAATCTTCTCACGAGTAGCCTATTCCTATGTGATTATTCCAAGTTCAATTTTCAAGGATGATACTGAATTTTAATAAATCATGGCCAACTAATTCAAGGAGGAAAAATCTACATTCCAAGATCACAAACTGGTTCAAATAATTTTGAGTTGTTTCGATTACTTGATTATTGACTCACTAGGAGGATGTTCTGCTAAATTAACATTCAACTACTGGAGTGAAAAGCAAAGCTTTTAAATGGTTCAGTTCTAAAAGACAGCTTCTGCACTAAAATAACATGGCTGAACTACACATTTCTGTTGTTAAATTTAATCACAAAATCAGAATTACCCAGGAATGATGGGCTGTGGTTACAGAAGGCCCAATAAACATTATCAGTATTAGATGGCTGGAACACAGTGACATGCTAAAACTAAGCATCTTAAATACAGCTGATGCAAACATCCTAATCACACACTAATAAGCAACATATCACTGAACACATAAGACACCAAAGAGATGAGATTGCACTAGAGATGCCTCCAAACACTGACTATATATTACTGACCCAGAGTCAGTCGATTCTGTTTCTAGGATGATGCTATTAGTTTTGTTGTCTATCACGATATTAGAGATGTCTCCTCCATAGAAACTGGACCGTGGTGTGCTGACACAACTAGAAATAACTGAGTTCATTGCCGAAGACTGATTTGATCCTGGGATGTTCATTGGAGATGGAGTTAGGGATCTTTGTTTTACCACCTGATTGACATTTCGTACTGTATCAAAGACTCTCTTGTGATGGCTGCCAAAGAAACAAGATTGTTAGTAACAACAAAAATAACATCCTGAAGTCTTCTACAATGATTTCATAGTTGATTCAGTTTTTGTTAAACAATGATATTGTATAACTCTCTGGCGACATATTTATTGCAATGATTACACCGACCAACACACATTTTGGTGCCTCAAATGTTCACCCTGTTCCTGGGTATACTTGTTATGCTGATTCCAAAAATATGTCACCAGTTTTTTTACCTATCAGCTCTAGTTTTTGAGATGCAGAACATATGCCATATACCACTCTTCACTCTGCTTGTCCATAAGAAAATCAGAATATTTGAATGTTTAAATTAATATCATTTAAGCATGAAGGAAGAACATTAAACATTAAAAGAAAATTGTATGAGCTGGAATGTGTCCAGAGGAGGGAGCAAAATGATCAAAGGTCTGGAAACGATGCTGTATGGGAGCAGCTTAAAAAGCTGGGTATGTTTAGCCTCCAGAAGAGAAGGTTGAGAGGAGACATGATAGCCATGTTTAAATATTTGAATGGATGTCACAAGCAGGAGGGAGCAGGCTTATTTTCAGCTGCCCTGGAGACTAGGAATTTATTTATTTATTCATTTATTTATTTACCGTATTTATATACTGCCTTTCTCAGCCCGAAGGCGACTCAAAGCAGTTTACAGTCGGTGACTCAGGCTAGTTTACAGACTTAGAGCAATGGGTTCAAATTACAGAAAATGGGTTTTCCCCCTTGAACATTAACAACTTCCTGATCGTAAGAGCCATTTAACCGTGGAACTCATTGTCTCCATGTGTGGTGGAGATTCCTTCTTTGGAGGCTTTTAAACAGAGGCTGGATGGCTTTGATTGTATCATTCTTGCCAGGCAAACAATTGGACTGGATGGTCCAAGATGTCTTTTTCAACTCTATGCTTTTATGATTCTACAGGAAAATCAACTTAATTTACACTAGAGGCATAGATTTATGATACAAACTTTCCAGTCATTTGACACACCATATCTAAGAAACTAGAGCTGATACAATACAATTTTCTGAATCAGTGCCCCAAATAACCTCAGGAACAGACCTAAAAACCAAGACACCAAGAAATGTTTTTTGTTGAACTGTGTTATCAAGAAACAGAATTTTATTAATTTTGAATTATTTTATTATTTTGGAGAAAAAGGAAGGATTGTACATTGATAAATTTTCCCTGAACAATGCTTCCCATTTTCTACATTGTCTATTCAACAAACCTATGCATTTGATTCTTGACCTAGGCCAGATAGTCATATCCTACTGGCTATTAGGAACTGTGGGAGTTGAAGTCCAAAACACCTGGAGGGATGACATTTGCTCTTGGCTGGACTAGGGTGACAATATATTGTAGCCACACAGACATACCCCCCTCTACTTCAACTGTACCCCTCAGCTGGCTTTGATGATACTGTATAGAATGTGGCATATTTCTGACTCTGCAAGAGTCGTACAGCCAAGGAAATATTCCACCAGAATAATACTGGATCTTCCAATACATTTACTTTCACGCTACAGTAATGGCAACATATATGGAGATCTACTCCCTCCCATCCAAAGTTTTTCAAAAACACTCACTTAAAAATGAGCAGAAATAACGCTATAGCTGTAAGGCATCATGGTCAACTGTTGACTTGTTGAGGCAAAATAAAAAGCAATGTATTTTGTGGAAACTGAATTTAAGGCATGTGTTACTGCTGCAAAATGTGGCCTTTTACATTGTAAATTAGCTAGACTCAAATGGCAAATGATTGTTTCATTATATGGATTGGGCAATTTCCTGTAAGCTATCATATCACAGAGGTCTTTCTTTTATGCTTAGTTCATCTCGAATAAGACTACATAAGAAGTTTGACACCTATTACATGGAACTTCAATTACTTGTCAAACAGTTATCTTTCTTAAACATCGAAATTTCATAATGCATTGGCCATACGTTAAGTCGGGGGATTCAGGATCATCCAGATGAAGTTCTTTTCGCATTGAGCCTTCAATTTCAGCTGCCAAAGAATCCTGTTAAGAGAATTTTTAAAGATGTTAGCACCATGTTACTAACACATCTATTTTTGTAATACATGATACACAGTGAGATCCATGCCTGGATATCGTACTCCTCTCATTTTAAAAAGTCTGTTAGATGAAGAAGGATTTATCATACTTCATTGAAATGGAAAACTGATGTCAATGCCTCCTTACCAGGCACAGGCAAACGGCCAGCTAGACCATGATTCAGCAATTTTCTGGGCAATCTTATTTATTTGTTTGTTTGTTTGCCATATTTATATACCGCCTTTCTCAGCCTGAAGGCAACTCAAGGCAGTTTACAGTTGGCACAATTTGATGCCCCCAAACAACATAAATTACCATTAAAAACAATTAACATATAATATAAAACCATATAAAACCAGTAAAAACTTAAGTTCTCAGCATCTCATTACTAAAAACATTTTCCAATTGCATCGTCCAGTCATTCTGTGGGTCTAAATTTGCCAGTTACACTGCATTTGCAAAAGCTTGCTCGATAAGCCAGGTTTTGACTTGTTTTCAAAATGTTAGGAGGGATGGGGTTGATCTAATGTCCCTAGGAAGGGAGTATAACATGCCCATAACATGCAAGTGTGAAGAAGAGCAACTCACAGACTATGAAGTCTGTGCCCTGCCACATGCATGGAGGATCTTCTCACAGCGACACCAGAGGTGGCCTGCTTCTGGTCAAAGGAAATGTGACGGCGCGTGTAGCGCCACATATATTTAGAACTGTTAGTTGCAGGATTTAAACTGCCATTTTATTCCTGTCTACCTTGTATATGTATAGTTAAATTTCATTGGTTATTATAGCTGTCAATTTATTGTTGTTGTGCACCAATTGGCTTGTTTCCCCAGTTCATTTGTTTAGGCTCCGCCCCTTCCAAGGGAGAAAGGAAAGGTATCTCTCTCACCTTTTTTTACCTCAGAAAAAGACTCATTGGATGGACGTGTGCAAAAGCTTGGCCCAAAGCCCCTGGTCAAGGCATTTTTTACTACCAATTCTTAGGTTTATTACCCCTGAGTCTTATACTTTATGTTCAAACCCCCGGAACGACATTGTGAAGATCTCAGGCGCCTTCATTCCGGTTTTTTGGCACTTGTCCTTCAACTTAGGCCACTGAACTGGGGTTGTGGTTTGCTCCGGCATTCACAACCATTGAGAGAGAGGGAACAGGAAAAGCTTCTCAGCTTATAACTCCTAGGACCCTGGACTTTAGAGTTTGTAAAGTATCTTTCCCTGTTGAAACATCACGTTTGTGCCTAAGAAAGAGAACTAATTGTCAACAATAAACACCATTTCGAGTTACTTGTTGTGTTCTGGTCCTTGGGAGTTCCAGTTTCCCTAAAGGAGGGCAAGAAGCAATCCTCTGAGGAAAGAAGTCACGTCCATGCCTCTTTCTCTATAGCCCCAGGCGCGACTGCATAGGAAATTTAGTATAATGCCAAGTTTTTAACGTTGTGGTTTTTCTATACTGTATTCTCAATTCGCTACTGACACAATAAATAAATAAATAACCTGCTAAAATGTTTTTGGGATCTATGTTTTTTAAAAAATAATCTTGATGAAATATGTTGATGAAAGAGGAATTTGTCAGAAAGGATTTCTGATAAGTCTTCTCACCATGGGGAAAAGGCCTAGTGAATGGTAACGGCGTGATATGGCATTTGGCATCGTCTTGTTTCGAAGGTTCTTCAGCTCTTCTTGCGCCTCGTGAAGCATTTCCATGCACTCTGCATATTTGTCCTCCAGCTCTCGTAACTGCAATTCATAAAGAAAAGAAATGATTTTTATATAGCATCATCTATCTAAATGTTGCAGATAATGATGTAAACAAAAACACTTTTAAAAGGATACCGAGCAGTAGTTTTTGTTATGAACTATATGCTTTACATGTACATTTAGATCAATATGCATTATATCTGTTTTAATGATAGCATGAATAATTTATCATTCAGTAGACTGAGTATTCAAGGGTCTATGAGAACTGAATATTTAATGCAAATCACATAAAAATAGTTTTTGTCATTCAAAATGCATTCTCTCTCTCTTAACAGAGAGAGACAGAGACAGAGAAACAGAGACAGAGAGACAGACAGAGAGAGAGACTAATGAAGAGCGGAGAAGATCATAAATACAATCCAGATCTCTGTGGCTCCTGAGATATCAGAAGGCCTCGTCTATATATTTTGAAGCTGCTTCTGTAGCACTTTTTAATAGAAGTTTGGGTGTTACATATCTAGGGTTTTCCTAGAAGTGTGCCAAAACATGTGCTATGCATCTTACTACTTTGTCTAATTTCATTGTTTCAGAACAGACTTTGATTTCTTTCCTTTTCTGTTCTGAAACAATGAAATTAGACAAAGTAGTAAGACATATAGCACATGTTTTGGCGCACTTCTAGGAAAAGTGTTTTAAGCAACGAAGCCTAGATATGTAACACCCAACCTTACCTAGTAATCAACTGTGAAATAAATTAACAGCCTGATACTAAGCTGAGATATTTACGTCTGTCACTACTGCTGTATTGCCGAAGTGCTTTGGAAGAACCCCCTCTCCCTCCCAGCCCACCCACCCCACTCCAGACCACCATGCGGCCCCCAAGTTAGAAAGTTTGCCCATGACTGCTCTAACTGAAATGATCTTTCTGACATTATACCAAGCACAAGTGGGCAAAAAAAAGTTAAGGCCATCAAAAAGCAATTTTCCAGCTCCAAATTCTAGAGTACTAAATAGCTATGCTCACTTCTGCTGTGAGTTGCCTTTGGGCATCTTTAGCTGCTCCCAGATGTTGTACAAGTTCTTCATTTTCTACTGTACACTGAAAAAGCAATAAAATAAATAAAAGTAATACATCACATAGAAAATGATATGGTTTCTCTTGCAATATATATGTTCTACTGATTTACAAATTAAAAGCGTATTTGCATTACATTAGAGATACATCCCCCCTTCCCCCGTAATCATCCCTTGAATCTTACAGCTTTTGCCTTCTTCTGCAAATCAACTATCTGAGAAAGAAGATGTGTGATTTCTTCCTGTTGCCGGGCAGCATCTTCAGTTTTCTTGGCCAATTCTTCAGCTATATTGCCAATCTGGAGATTTGCATCTCCTTTAGAAAGGAACAATAAATAAATGAGTTCATATATACAATCATTCAGTGTATAAGTTACTTTCTACATCGATACAAGCAAGGAAGTATTGATGAGGACATATGCAAAGAACAAGAGAGATAGCTGATATACAATCAGGCACTGAAAGGGATTTCCAATTACTTGTGAACTACAGTATATTGAATACCAGTGCCCTGAATGTTTTGGGAAAAAAACAGATGCCTCAAAATCTCCCCAAGGAGATATGGGTCCACATTTTTCACTACATAACATTGTAGACCTATTTTTTAAAAGGTAAGTAGCCCAAAAGTTGGCTCCCTTTAGTGGAGGAGAGGTCTCTTCTGGTCACTAAAATAGCTCAGAAAAAACCAAAAACATGGAGAAACAGCCCGTATATCCTTGAGGGAGTGTTGGGAGTTATCTGTGGGCAAAAAACCTTATTATTATTATTATTATTATTATTATTATTATTATTATTATTTGTGGCATGCAGTTGTGGGTGAGGTTCTCCAAGGTCTCCTGAATTGCCAGATGAGCATCTGACAAGAGCGATCTTGCAGCTTTACACTGGAATATATCAGAGTGAATCTCTAAAGATTTTAGGACATTCTTAGATGTTAAATAATAATAATAATAACAACAATAACAATAACTTTATTTTTTACCCAGCCTCCATTTCCCCAAAGGGATTCGGGGCAGCTTACACATGGGACAAAATGTCCACAGAACATCAAAACAAAACAATCCATTAAAAACAAAAAAAACCCCGATTAAAACAAAACATAGCAAAGCATAACAGTCAAATAAAAAACAAATAAATAAAACATAAGGGTACAAAACAGCAGCATTAAAACTCACTCAAGCAACCAAATACTAAGATGGGCATGATCAGGGTATAAAGAGGACCGGGCCTGGCTTAGTGCAAAACAGCATAGTATAGATCTGGAGGATTGGAAGAAGTGTAGAGAACAGAGTACTATCTGGCGAGCTAGGAATTGGGAGTAGGGACTAATCATTCTTAAATGTTTGTTGGATTTTTCTCTAGCAAGCATTACAGATACAGAAGTGTGAACATAACACCAACCTGAAGGTCACATAACTAAAAACTGTAAAAATGAGGGTTAATGTGTTCAAGCTTCTCAACCGATGTTTGGGGACTGATGAAACCTAGGACAATATAGACTAGTATGGACAATAAAACAGCACAAAAACCTAAACATAACCAGAATAACCATTCTCTCAAAAAGCAAAGGAAGACAAGAAACATACTGAGTTCCTTCACGCAATCATTTACAAGTTGTTGTTCCTTCTCTTCATAGGTAATGGTTTCGGTCTTCAGCTGGCAGGCCTGTTCACAATATCAAAAAGTCCAAAGGTAAAACAGAATTAATATTTTGATGATGTAATATTGCCATTTGATTAAAAAAATCCATAGCAGAAACCACAATTTTTGGGAAATGGGAAACAATACATTTTTGCGCTCTTCTTCTGCTGTTAACCTAATGAATAATGACAAGTTACAATTACTAAATGTCATTACTGAAATTTGAGAGAGGAAGTATATACTCAAGAAAGCCTTGTGGGTAAATAAAATACCAGATTCAATGATATTTAAATTTTCCCTATGTAATAATGAAGAAAAAAGGACTAAAAGTTCTAAAAGTTCCCTGTTAAAACACATACACAGCACAAAATATAAGGTCACTATGTACTTCAAGTGGAGAAATGTCAAATGAAATTGTACTTACAATGTTCAATGCCATATCTAACTTCTTAGAGTTAATATTGCTAACCATTGCTAATATTGCTAACCATTGCATTCTGAATAAATGCTGAGGGAAATGCTTACATAACAGGCAACTGCCATCTGACTTGTATTTGCAATTCAATAATCTAATCCATTTAGCATCAGTATCAAAAAGCTGTTTCTTGTTATATTAGAATGTGTGCATTACAATCAGTGTGCATACACTGATAATACATAATTTTAGAAAATGATTGCAACGTAGCTATTTTAACCCTCTGAAGGAAGCCCAGAAATATGACAACTCTTTCCTATTACACAATGAAAAAGCAACAATGCTATCCTAAACTGAGACTATCACAAAAGGTCAGATCTATATCATACTTTTACATGGTTCAACACAATAGGAATTAAAATCCATTTTTGGATTAAAAAGGTAAAAGTTTTCTTCTGACATTAAGTCCAGTTGTGTCTGACTCTGGGGGTTGGTGTTTATCTCTAAGCGTAAGAGCCAGCGTTGCCTGTAGACACCTCCAAGGTCATGTGGCCAGCATGACTGCTAGGAGCGCTGTTACCTTCCTGCTGGAGCGGTACCTATTGATCAACTCACATTTGAACGTTCTCAAACTGCTAGGTTGACAGAAGCTGGGATTGACAGCAGAAGCTCATACCACTTTCCAGATTCGATCCTGTGACCTTTTGGTCAACAAGCTCAGCAGCTCAGCGGTTTAACCCACTGTGCCACCAAACAGTAATGAGTTTATCATATGCCCAGTCTACACAAATAATATATGGGACAGTAAAAGTGTTCCTGCATTCAGTATTGCCTTCAGGCAATACTGAATGCAGATTTATTTATTTTATTTATTTACAGTATTTATATTGCACCCTTCTCACCCTGCAGGGGACTAAGGGCAGATTACAATGTACATATACATGGCAAACATTCAATGCCATAGACACACAACATATATAGACAGACACAGAGGCAATTTAACTTTTCATGAGGATATTCTGGCCACCAGGGGAGCTATTGCTTCACCTTTCATTTGTGACACTGATGAAGCACTTCTGATTCTTTGCAGGCTTGCTGGAGATTTTTATGGCATCATAAATTAGTTAAATTAGCCTCCCCGCATAGGCGGTACCTAAATTTCCTACTTGACAGATGCAACTGTCTTTCGGGATGCAAAGGTCGACAGCAAGTTACACAAATTGGTTCGACACTCACTCTGACCCAGGCTGGCTTTGAACTCATGACCTTTCGGTCAGTAGTGATCTTAATGCAGCTGACTCCCAGCCAGCTGCGCTACAGTCCCAGTACCCTTTCCTGGGTCACCACTTTTCCTCAATGCTAACTACTCACTCCAGTTGTATCTCCCACCAGTATCCATAGGAAGAGGTAAACAAGCATTTCTTCTCCCTTATCATCAAACAAGCAGAAGTAAAAATGGCAGTTTCTCACTTTTGCCATCATTGCCGTTTGATCATTTGTTCTCCAATGAACAGAGAAGGAATGCCAGTTGCTGCTATTGCTTACTTGCTAGCTTTTGTACTCTAGTTCAAAGCAAAGGAGGCTGAAAATGAGTAAGCAGGTAATTACAATATTCTTTTTTCCTTCTGAAGGTCATCATCAACTATTTCCAGCTCTTTAGTCAGCAATAGGAATACGCCCTATTACTCATCTATCCACAGTGGCAGAGGACAAAGGTCTTTAAGCCATCTCCAGGTGCCCAGTAATGTCCACCTGATGGTGACTCTGCTTGAATAGCACCACTTCATACTACAATTGATAGTTCACATGCCTCACTGTGCAGACTGATCATTGACAGTTTATATTTATTAATATTTAATATTATTTAATACACTTCTTAAGTTATTTTTCAGGACCGTGATGTTTCTTTTTGTATATATTAAGATTGGAAAGGGAAAGGCGACATGAGGACGCAAATGCCTGTTCTCTGCAGTCCAGGAATAGTTGCATCACCTTATCTACTATTTGCCCTTGGGCAGGGAATACAGCATGACCTACATAATCATGGGACCGATATCCAGTGTCACAGGCCCACATCTGGTAAAAGATAACCTCTCTAGGAATTTTCTGGATCATCAAAGCAATTTTATGGAGTGCTTTGGCTGGAAGTTGCGTAAGAGTTGCACTGGATGTCCTAGCAAATTCCTAAAGATCCCTCTCTAGGATATTTCTAGATCTTCCAGAATGACTTTATGATAACTTTCAATAGAAGACGTACATTTCAATAGCGTTTGCTATACAGTAAATTCAGGAATAGATGCCCAATGAGTTGTTGCAGGTTTCTTGGGCTGTTTGGCCATCTTCTAGAAGCATTCTCTCCTAATGTTTCGCCTGCATCTATGGAAAGCATCCTCACAACCTCTGAGGATGCCTGCTATAGATGCAGGTGAAACATCAAGAGAGAATGCTTCTAGAACATGGCCATGCAGCCCAAAAAATCTACAACAACCCAGTGATTCCAGCCATGAAAACTTTCGACAATACATAGATCCCCTATGAATACAGGGGTTTTACTTTACTGTAGTCCTGTGACTAAAAATGCAAAGGGGATACATTATCAGTTATAGATAATTATGTAGTTATAGCTACTTGTTAATTCACTCAGATTTTGATGAAAAAGTAAGTAAGTAAACTTTATTAGGGTCGATGACCCAATCATAACAGGGGGACCCAGTCCCGTACATCCACATCAAACCCAAGGGGTTATATACTTCAAACTTTAACAAATTTTAAAATCTAAGCTAAAAGCCAATACAAGTAGTTATTAAAACCTAACTCAACCCACAAGATTATCCGATCGCAGTCTAAAGAGAGGTAGTGGGGATAGCACAGGGGAAGAGGGAATATCCAACACTATAAATATCAGTCTATATCTGCTTTCCCATCTATATTCCAGAGGTGAAGCTTAGGTCTTTTAACCCTCAATCATCGTCCTCCGAATTTTAATCGCAGGCGTGCAGAACTTAGCGGTGTTGTACGTCACAGCCAAGTTTGTGTCTGAGATCACCAGAGCCACATAGAATTATTTGATGAAAAAAATGAAATGCAAAATATCAGGGAAGGGTTATTACCTCTGATCTAAGCACGACATTCTCTTCTTCAAGGTCCTTAAGTTTCTTCTGAAGAGAATCTAAATGAAAATAGTTCTGGACGGATGCAGATGACTCATTCCTCTTCAACCTGTTAAGAGGCACATTAAGACATTCATATTTTACCTTGTTGTTGGCAATGTTTCTGGTGAAGAAATATATCAGCCACAGTTGAATACAATTCTCGCAAGTAGCATTGTGTAAATTATTTGCATTTCCATAAAGTTCCATATAATTTAAAAATAAAATTACTAATTTGGCAATTTTCTGAATTCCACCCACTATCAGCAGAGGAAAAAAAAGAAAATCAGCTCTACTCACCACATGAGATTATTTAGGAAAGCGTAATCTTATAATACTGCAGCTAGTACAATACATGAACAAATAAAAAATAAAACATCAAGCATAAAGAAAGAGAGAACCAAGCAATTTCCTTGAGAGTTGTAATTCTGATCATATAGTTAGTGGCCTATGAAATAAGGCTTCCCTTTTCCATTTTTGAACAATCATGTCAACATGGGTTTACAAACTGCTGCTCTGTTACTGGATCAAATTCTTGGAAATGATTGCACTTAGCACTGAGCCTGAGCTACTGTTGGTGCAACAAAAGTGAAATGACTGACATCTTGCTGAAAAAAGGAAAACAAAATTGCTGGCATGGTGATTATCCTTCATTCTTAACTAGTAAAAGCCACCAGCGTATGCCTGCGATGAGCTCTAAGTTCGGAGTTTGATATGAAAACTCTATTCCCTATACATCTGGACCAATTAGATCAGTTACTGGAAAAGTGACTGATCTTACAGTAAAAAAACAACAACCAGAATCAAAAGTCTAAAAATCATACCACTGCATGCCTAAAATTAGATGTATTTACAATTATACACTGCAAATATTTGCCAAAATACCATAAAAGCAATACAAACAGCACCTCCCAAAGATAATCACTTATTTCCTGAAATCATGTACAAATCAATACCATTTAACCTAAAAGACAAAAATGTGTGGAACAATGAATAAATCATAAAGTTGGAAGAGACCTCAAGCGTCATCCAGACCAACCCCCTGCCATGCAGGAAAAAGCAATCAACGAACTCCTGAGAGAGCTTGAAAACCCGACTGTTCCAGTGTGCCTTCAAGAAATGATTAACTGAACTATAACAGGGTAGTTGTAGGTTTCTTCGGGCTATATAGCCATGTTCTAGAGGCATTCTCTCCTGACGTTTCGCCTGCATCTATGGCAAGCATCCTAAGAGGTTGTGAGGTCAGAGGTTATGAGACGACTACTTTGGACTGAATACTCTATTCAGAAATATCCAGAGTTGGTGAACCAATTCTAGCTGTCCAAAGTATTCTTTGTCACTAAGACTACTTCAATTGTCAGTTACAGCTTTGCAAACAAGCCTTGATCCTTTGAATCAGAGCTGTGGTATACAACAACAAATCGAAGAGTTACACGGTGCTCCCAGATGGGACCCAGGGGTACAAGCAAGCCTCTCACAATACTGTATGCCATAGCAACTCCCATCACAGACTTACGGAGTGGAACAGATAGATTCTGGCTCACTCTCTTCAGCAGCACTGGTATAAAACTGAAGGAGTTCATCTTTCATTGACAGTTCATGGCGCAATTGAGAAACCTAAACAAATGAAGAAGGACAAGCTATCACATGTCTTCCAAGTACATTTTATGTTACAATGTTGACCATTATATTGTTCAGACTTATAGTCTATACAAAACAAAATGTTCTGGGTGGGTGGAGAGGGAATACAGACTAAGAATTGAAATACCCATTTACGGCTGAAGGAGAATATGCCCTCCTTTCATTCACAATTTTCAATTTCACACTGAGTCTGTGACACAACAATAATCGTAGCTATTGTTATTAAATGAAGAAAAACTGAAAAATGTGGAGGTAAACCACACCTGGGAACTTTTACAATTAGTCAATTGCAATACTATAAATGTACCTATGTGGCATTTGGTGTGCCAATGATAACAGTGAGAAAATAATCTCATCTCATAGTAGGACACTGTTCCTTTAGAAGCCTTTAGCTTTAAATTAAATATTGCTTAGTCTACAAAGGATTCTGGGTGGTTCTTGGCTGGGATCCCAACTTCTGACTATCCTTACAAAACATATAACGAAGAAACACCACAGATTCCTGCTACTGTTCCTCAATGCTTGGCAAATGCCTTTTTCTTGAGTCAGATTCTGATTGAAAAGAAGTGGGAAAATACCCTTGCAAATGAGATATACCCATTATATACCTCAATATTATTTTCTGAGGTCGAACCCATAAGCGAAGAGAGAAAAGGAAAAAGTAAGAATAAAAGAAAGATAGAAAAATGAGGTTTAAAAATTAACCGTCATTGTCTTGTGTACTATTTCTCTCAATCTGTCTTTACTGTTTTTAGAATAGGAAACCCATTATAGTTGATTCTTTAGACCAGGGGTCCTCAAACTAAGGCCCAGGGGCTGGATAAGGCCCTCCAAGGTCATTTGCCTGGCCCTCGCTCAGGATCAACCTAAGTCTGAAACAGGTGAAAGCACACAACAACAACAACAACAACACTATCTCATCAGCCAAAAGCAGGCCTACATTTCCCATTGAAATACTAATAAGTTTATATTTGTTAAAATTGTTCTTCATTTTAATTATTGTATTGTTTTAAAGTGTTTTTTGCACTACAAATAAGATATGTGTAGTGTGTGTAGGAATTCATTCATTTTTTTTCAAATTATTATCCGGCCCTCCAACAGTTTGAGGGACTGTGACCTGGCCCTCTGTTTAAAAAGTTTGAGGACCCCTGCTCTAGACTGTAAATCAGTATGATCCACACCAAATTCAGAGCTTAATTTTGATCCTGAGCTAACTCAAAAGCAGAATTTTAGTGTTTCAAAACAATTCACACGTTAACAAGAACGAAAATCTAATGTGAGGGCCTGGTAGGTAAATTCTTGTTTGCCATATTAAACTTGCGGGCAAACTTTTCAATGAACAGTGTTTCTTTTGAAAAGGATAGAGTTCATCACCACAAATTATTTTCCGTACCATCTGAACTGTAAAAAACAGACAATAAGCGAAGTGCCATTAAAAAGGGGGATCTTTCCCTGCATATTGCAAAGAGGTAGCTCCAAAACCATCATGCGCACATATGGTAACCATTAATGCATTTTTGATTAGTGTTCCAAACTATTGTGACTTGAGCTAACAATAGTGAAGTACTATCTGTGTCTCAACTTTTCCAAACTGCTCATAAAACTAATTTCTAGAAGTAAATGAAACCTTAAGAATGAATGTGGAGGACACGCTCCATACTAAGCATGACTGAGAATCCAAGGAGCCAGGAGGAGTTCTATTGTGTAATATCTGAAATTCACTTCATCCTGGAAGCCAGGACAAACTAGGAGTATCTGCTAAGATGAGCCATACATCTACTTATGCTTATGCTATTAGACTATTAAGTGGCCATATCTGCTCTCAGAGGCAATTTACAGTCAAATGTATTCATTTACAACCCACAGTCCAGAGACTATGCCTGAAACATGTGGGTATACAGTAAAGTGTTTCCTCCAGTGCACTCACCTCATTTTCGTTAGTGCCTTAAAATGCGTCTGAAGCTCAGTTTTCATAATTTAGTACTACTGGAAAGAGTTGTACAGGGTAGAAGTTAGTAGGAATTATTTGAAAAAGCAAGGGGAAAAGGTTCTGTCCTTGAGACAGAAGGAAAAAATGAAATTTTAATAGGATTGAAGGTAATATACAAAAAAGGAATGCCACAGGACAAAAAGGAAAGTTGGGTTTTTAAAGATTACGTAAAAGGAAATAGAAGTGGAGAAGAAAATAACTGCATTGTGGATTAAATGCCTAGATCACAGGGGTTAAAACAATGTAAACCAGAGGCAAGTCAGATACCCTTACAGCCTCAAAACAGTCCAATTATCAAATTAACGCAGGGAACGCACTCAGGAAATATTCACACCTTTAAAGGCATCCTTCCTTGCTATAGCAGAGTATGATTAAGAGTATCGTAACCAATTTGCATGCCCCAGATCATGTGCCAAACTGCTAATGTGGAATTGCTATGTCCCACACTTTTCTCATGGCATATACATACTATACTTTGACACTGCATTATGTACTAGATAAAACACAAGAAGGAGTACATTTTACTATTAATCTCCGAAGTTTACCCCCCACCACAAACTAGAGCAAGAGAACCAAACAGCAATTTTTATTGAGTCTGGGATTTGTTATGTAATTTTCAGAATTCCATCCCTTGTAATGCTTGCAAGAAGATATTGATATTATATATGTGTGTGTGTGTGTGTGTGTGTGTGTTACATGTAATAAATTAAAACCTAAAGTATATAACAAAGTATAAAATTAATATGGAATAAAATATGGGACATTGAAATATATAATGAAAACCAATAAAATCATTAAAACCATTAAAACTTTTTGAACTAAAGAAAACTCAGCACCTCCTGGTTTGGCCTTAAAAACCTTCCTCTCCAAAAGTCTGCTTGAAAGGAAAGGTGTTAGCCTGCCACTGGAAGGGCATCAGGAAGGGGATCATTTTGCCCCCCCCCCCCAGCCATTGTGAAAGTAACCACCAACTGTGCCTGTGATAGTAGTGGGACATAGAGGAGGACCTCTCCCAAGGGTCTCAGGGCCTGGGCAGATTCATACGGTCTGCCAAATAGCCTGGACCCAAATATATGTAGTTATAGTTACGAGGTCTCCTGGCATGTCTCCAATATGAAATAGGCACATCATTATCTGGTAATACAAAACACGTCTTCCTTCTGCTCACTTCACTATTGCCTCATCATACACAAAAGGCAACAGGAGCCAATATTGAACCAATGTCTAATGGTTAAATATTGCCAGCATTTCAATGCTGTAAATGCTGGCTAACCCTCTTGTATTATATGCCTGTTATGATACATCTTAAATGAAGCACCAGTGTCAGCTGTTTTAATGTTTAATGTTAATATCATGTCTCTTAATTTACTTTTAGGGTGTACATTGTAATGTTTACTTTTGTTTTAGATTTAATATCTTAGCGGATTGCTTCTGGTTTTCTTTTATGCTTAATTCCTTCGTTGTAAGTTTTCTGCTGTTACTATCCATTATCCTGTATTACTTTGATGTGTTTGAGGCCTTGAATGTTTGCCTTTTTATGTGTTTTTATGTGTAAACTGCCTTGAGTCTCTCAGAGGAGAGAAAGCCGTCTAGAAATTTATTATTATTATTATTATTATTATTATTATTATTATTATTATTATTATTATTGTGAGGCTAAACTTCTTTTACTAAAGAAGCAAATTTTAAAATGTATTGTTATACTGTGAAAGGAATGTACTAATTCCTCATTAACTGACAATCATACTGGAACTGAGAATTTGGTTACTGCCGTGGGGAATAAAGTAAAAGAATAAAGTAAAATCAACTTTTTTAAAAAACTACAGGCAACCCCCAGGCTACAAACAAGATAGGTTCTTTAGGTTTGTTCTTAAGTTGAGTTTGTATGCAAGTCAGAACACATACATTTTTAAGTGTAACTCCTCATGGGTCATCCAGTCCAACTTCCTGCCAAGAAGCAGGAAAATCTCATTGAAAGTACTCCCGACAGATGGCCACCCAGCCTCTGAATAATTAGCATTCATTGCATTAACTGATCTAGCTAGTAATACATTGATTGTATGTGATGCTACTGAGATGCATAAGGCACAAATACAGCATTTCAATGTTGAGAAATAACTGGATACATTGGTGATCATGAAAAATCAATTCTTGATGCCAGTTTGTGATAAACATTTAGAGTTTAAAAGAAATTGTTACACAGAGCCAGGAGCAATTATAAATTAGCAGTAAATACACAGTGGGCCTCATTGGGATTTGGTTTCACAGCCTTAGACCTTATATAAAATGGCAAAATTAAGGTTTGCTTTTCCGTTTTTTGGGGGGATGGAGAGTTTTAAGCCATTGATGGTTGAATTCGAGTCCACAAAATCTGTGGATACAGATGCTTAATTGTATATGCAAACACAGTGCAAACAATACTTTGAAAAGGTGCAAAAGGGAGACCTGAATGTTAGGGAACACACCTACCCAATACACACCTATTCAGAAAGGTTTGGTTGGATATGCAGGCTGGGTGTGAAAGAACAGTAAAATTACTGTCAAGAACGGAATTAACTACAATCAGCCTTGACCTTGAGCAGCCAGTTAGGAGAAGTTCCTCCTCTGCCAGACCTTGCTACATCCACTTGCTTCTACTGTTAGGCATAACCAAGAAGGAAATCCTCAAACTACAGGGAAGCACAGCAGAGATTATGGTGACAGTTTAAGAATGTCAAGGAAATGTGAACACACCCATCAGGTACATGGGAAATGTGAGTACATAAGCATACAGAGATGACACACTTGCCATGACTTACTTGAGAGGCATGGAGGGAAAGAAAATTGAAATGGGAACAATGTTTGGGTGAATTTGATACAGTTTTACTAGTGGTAGAAAGAGGGACTATAAAGCAAAGAAGGATGGCTAAGTTGTGATGGAGCTTTGAATACACTGAGTTCATTGCTTTAATTATTAAACATAATATTATGTTTTAATCTGTCTTCTGTATTGATCTAAGTTATTAGATCTCATAACGGAAGAAAACAATATAGACTATTAAGTGACTGACAGTTCTCTAGCACTAGAATCCATTTGGATATTTTGCTTAAATTAGATCCCTCCACATTATGTCTTGTACAAAACTGACAAGGAAGACAAGGAAGAAGCAGCAAGACAACAGAGCAAATAAAGCAAAACATATTTGATTACGGATAGGAAAGAGAAAGTTTCGGAATTACAAAACAGTCCGAATTAGGCGTGTACCATGTCCTTACCTCTTCTCTGATATGCTCCACTTGCTCTTCAAGGAGTTCATTCCTCTCCGTTAGAGTTTTATTCTTCTTTAATAATGACTGGCCGATCCGAGCAGCTAATTCCAAATCTCGCTCTTTCTGTAAAAGGAAAAATAACTCATCTCAATTACTGATTCAATGAGAAAAGTAATCACTTTTCAAAATCACAAAGTTAATTTATGCCCGAGTTGAAACAAGAGTGTTTGCTTTTGAAACAAAGAACCCAACAATTAGTGCTTACTGCTCTTCCTTTTATCGCACAAGAGACTACCACATAATTTGGGAAATCTGATGGATACAATACGTGAACAGCAAGCAATCACAAAAAATGAGAGCCAGCTTTATGGCACAATTAGATGGCTCCTCTGTCAACATACAAGTATGATTATAAAGCACTTAACACAAAACTTAATTCATTTTTATGTCTATTTGCTTGTGTTATTTACATAACATTATTTCAAAGTGTTTTAAGTGTGCCACCTAAATAGTCTTAGCAACTCTTACAAACAAACCGTTTGCTAATACTATCAACTCAGCATTATAGGTGTAAAACTGGGATTATGAAGGAAGTCAACTTAATAAAGTCCTATAAAGTTTGAACTAATTTATAGCCTGTGTAATATGGTACCAAGAGATAAGAGAGGACGCTTCACATCACTAAGGAAAAAGCACTTCCATTCAATTCTTTGCATCAAGAGTTGCAAAAAAGAAAGATTGAGTTGGAGAGATTGTGAAGAGTCAGTCATTTAAGCTGCATTAGTAAGAGGAGTTCATTGGACATACATTCACCTAAAAATACTTTAAAACAATGGGTTCAATGTGCAATAAACATTTTGCAAGAGCACATTATTGTGCTACATTCATTTTACTATTCCACTTCAACAAAGGATACTTGCCTCTTCAAGAAGACGTGTAACAGCATCAATGTCATTGTATGTTTTAGTCATCTGGCCCACTCTTTCAGCGCATAAAACTAAAAACAAAAACAAAAAAACATAATTCAAGCTTTACCACATTGCATGGAGATCAATGGAACATTTCATATCAACATGGTATATTACAGACAGAGAATCGTGTAAACATTTCAAATAGTGAATTTCCATTACTTTACATTACTCAGCCCCAGACCCGGTCATCTAACTTTAGTCTGTTTGATGGTGTTTATTCCTAAATTCGTTACAGGAACATATCCTCTACAAATATGGGGACCATACTGCATCATATTGCTTGTGATGAAATTCTATTCACAGCCATTATATTTTCACCAAAGCTGGACTGCTGGTTTCACGGTGCCTTTCAGTCTAAAAACAGCATACTGACAGGCTCCACAAAGTCCTGCCTCTAACATGATATCCCAAAAGAAACAAAAAGGAATTATATATTTAAAATAGTACAGTATTCTTATTGGCCTTTCATTTCCCTTAACAGAGTTTCTTGCAGAAAAATCCAGTATGTCTCCCTTCCCTTACTTCTTTAATACTTTTATGCGTCATATGACCTTTTCTGCATATTGACATTTCATTATTTACAGTATGTGAATGTCTTGATGCCATTTCTTGAGAACTCATTAAGAAAACACGAAAGAGCCAACAGCAGATACCAAACCTTATCAATTTTCTTGGAGGCAACTGACCTTGGTTCTGCCCAAGGGAGTGTCCCATTTATGATATAATTGTAGAGATTACAAGTAGATAATAATTGATTGCAGCAACAAATCTAGATGTCATCCTGGAATTGTACCCTTGTTGAAAAATAGATTTACAATCGACAACACAGATTTACAAGTGCTGTTGAATATGCTGTGGGAGTCAGGGGGAGACCATATTGTGGGAAATAAAATGATTTCAAAGTTCATATGTTATTACTAGCAGTCCTCAGGTTAGGAACAAAATAGCTTCTGGTTCTTAAGTTAGATTTGAAAGTAAGTCAAAACAGGTACACTTTTAAAATGTAATTCCAGCCAAAAATATATATTTTTAGTTGTGGATAGCATAGGGAAGGCTTTACACTCCTGTAATGTTTCTTTTGCTCTCTGTTCAGAAGATTTCATTTCACTTTCACAACTGGATTTTGAAAAAAATGGCTTGTCGCGGAAACAAGGATTGGTAAGAAAGCTACAATGGAAACTCCTTTCCCCCCATGATAACTCTTTCAGGAGTGAACTTCACTTCTGAGGAGTAAATTTCCTATCACTTCCTGTTGTTTCACCCCCGTTCTTAACTGTGAGTCATTTGTAAGTTGGATGTTTGCAACTTGGGGACTGCCTGTAGTCTGTTTTATTAGAAGATTTTGAAATCAGAGTTTACTATAAAACTTTTAAGTGTGATATCTTTATGAATTACAATGGGATTTCAATCATGTTGCAAACAGAATGACCTCCGTATGTGGCAACTGCATAACGTCGAGCAATGTAGGCTTTCTTTCTGTATTTGAATTCTCACCAGATCAGTAGTGGCATCTAGATTTTGACTACAAGAAACCGAAATACAAATAACATCTGGGCTACAGAAAAAGTTATGCAAACATCTTCTACGAAATGGCTTATGCAAACCATTGTTTACTTGTCATAGCTGATAGTGGGACCCAGACCATGAACATTATTATTACTATTAAAGCAGCTCCATTGGCTATCAAAAAGTTTCCAGTCTCATTTCAAAGTGCAGGTCATTACCTATAGAACTCTAAATGATTCAGGCTCTGGCTATCTTCATGACCGCATCCCCCTCTATGTACCTGCGCGAGTGTTAAGATCTGTCAGGGAGGCTCTCATTGCGGTCCTGCCACCATCAGAAATGTGGTTGGTGGGGATGAGGGAAAGGGCCTTCTCGGTAGTAGTCCCTCAGCTTTGGAATACCCTCCACACGGAGATTAGGCAGGCCCCCACACTGTCCTCCATCCGTAGGGATCTGAAGACTTGATGTTTAAACAAGCCTTTGAGAATGCCTAGCCCCAATGGTCCACAATTAATAACACAGCACTGCACTTTCATCCCATGTCCTTGTTCCTTAGCTACTATTTGCACTATCCATTCCCTTGTCTTGTTTAGTCTGGCCATGTTTTACAATGGTTGTCACTATGGGCTATTGGGCATTGTTCTGAGTCTTAAACTGTTGTTTTTATATGCTATATATTTTACTTTATGGTAGTCTATTGTGTGTTT